GATAAGTATCAGGGTCATTAAGTGAATATTGAGCGTGAAAATAATATTTGAAATTTCAATATTTTACCACACCCACTTTTGGGGTGACCTTACTTTTGTTTAATTACTTCCAAGATATGTCATATTTGAACTCAATAGCACAACTAAATTATTTGTAAAGGCTTATTTTGTCCTGAAAACAGTTTTTTGAGGTTTTCAGGAAAGGATTATGTAAAAAAAAAGTAGAAAAACAGCAAATGCCAGGTGAAATATAGGGGAAGCCCTACTTTTAGTTGATAACTGTTAAATTATCAAATGTTTTTTCCCTTTAAATTCAATTTGATATATAATATACCTTTTCTGGTAAAACAGAGAACGATTTGTTACAATCAGTGGTCAAAAAATGTCCTTGAAAAGGCAACAAAATGTTAAATATCGCCGTCCCTGACATCAGTTTATTAATATGAGCCAAAAAAGGTAACCCAACCAAATGTTTGTTAATAACCCAGTCATTCAGCATGGGTTTGACATCATATTTGTCACAATTACCTTGTTCAATGTTCTTTCATTCTACTAAGTGTCATTGATCTATCCTTAATAGTCACGATTTTATGGCCATTTACAAAATGTGCTCAAAATATCTAAATGTGCCTAACTGACTGGACATCAATACCACCAGTTTTTTTTTTATCTGTGGACCTTTTTTCGATACTAACAACACTTGAAACATTAAAACAAGAGATAAGAATGAAGATGAGAGTCATAACACATGATTTTTATGCTCCTGATTTGAACAACAACGCACGATACGTTCAAGTTGGCCTCCAGGTATGACACCCATATTTCATGGCATGGTATAAAATGGCCATAAAATCGTGACCACTAGAGATAGACCACTGAGACTGGGTAGATTGATAATACATTGACCAAGACTCAATTCTGCCAAATATGACACTAAATCCATGCAGGATGATTGGACTGGATTATTAAGATTTGTTTGGGTTACCTTTTTGGCTCACCCTGTATTAAGGAAAAATTGTTACTTTTGACTAAGGTGTTCTTAACCACACAGTGATATTGAGAAATGAAATGAAGAAGTTCAACTGAAGAATGTTCGATTTCAAAAAATGGTAAAAAATGTGGAAAAGGTTTCTACATTAATAAATCCTCCTGAGTTAACTAGTGTAACGCAAAGTAAATCCCTGGTCTTTATACAGGGCCTGGTTCGATTATGTTATGTTCATTATCAAAAATGCTGCCTTAATTTTGTAATCTTAACCTTCATATATGTGTCTTACTTATAGAGAGTAAAAAAGAATGCTGATTAAATAAGCTTAATACTATTATGTTGTAACAAGTCAACAATCAGTTACAACCTTGTCTATCACCAGCCTTCATCAGGGGCGGATATGGGAACCAACAAGGGGGGGGAACAAATGTCAGGTCTGAGAAAAAAACTTCTGCGGAAAAAAATTTGGGCCCCTAAAACCTGAGGTGGGCCCAAATTTTGAAATATTGAGACCCATTTTCTTAAATTAAAAAATAAGGCTTTAAAAGGCCCATTTATGACCAAAAAGGCCCACTTTTCGGACCTTATGGCCTTTTTTGGGCCCAATTTTTTTCTGGGCCCGCCCAAGGGGTGGCCCAGATCTGCCAGTGTTCATTATTTAGTCATCATTATTCTCATGATCAGTAATGGAGGTATTTGCACAAATGCCTTTGCATACCTTACATGTCAAAGAACAGTTATTTCATTTTTCTACAAGAACATCTCATAGAAATACAATCTGCCTTACACACACAATGGATGATCTCTGAGAAAAGGGAGCTGCATTTAGGCAATTGGTACATAGTTTCGTTGCTTATTTCCCAGCCCAATTATAATGGAGGCAGTTTATTTCCCTCCCACTCCTGGATCTGATGGTACACTCTGTAACTGTGGTATTCCGCAGCATCAGAAAATGGAGGAAGAACACGGGGCTGCAATAATTCAGATCTTGCTGCTCTCTTTTAATAGAATTTTAGAAGCCTAAGATAATTTAGGGTTTCACCATTTTCCACCATAAATTGACAAAAGAGCATGTTCCTCTGCAATGACAGAGTTGCTTGCATTTCACTGGTTTTCTACGTGTTTACGTTGTAACAAAATGTCGGAACATCGAAGGTTTGATTTTTCTTTTTTCTTTATTTCACACATTGTAGGCAGAATTCCCACAACATTGTTATCACAAACATGTATCAGTATTATATGCTTTAAAAATGTACATATTTGCGAACAAATAGTTCAGAAGACAACAGAATCTTCGATTTAATTCCTCACTTAAGTTACATAAACGGTATTTCGATAAACAATTTATCTGCACTTTTAACCCAAACCGTTTATTTAACTTATTTAAGTAAGGAATTAAATCAACAATTCTGTGAGAAAAAAAACATCGTGGGGATTCTGCCTACAACGCGTGAAAAAAAGGAAAAAAGAAATATCGTACTTTCGACGTTTAGACATTTTGTTACCAGTGCTTTTGATAATTTAAAAACAACCGCTTGTTTTCTCAAGAACTCACTCTTTTTATCTGCTTCAATGATAGCCTTTTGTCTAAAGAAACAAAATATTGTCACAGACCACTTTTCCCAAAGATAATCTTATTTCATTTATATTCCAACATTTTGTTTCTTGGGTTGCTGCTTTTGGTTCAGGTTTGAAGAAAATGTTGAAGTTTGTGTTTTGTGCATGATAAATGAGAAGCACAAGGAGATCTGTATGAGTACTGTATTTGAGGTTTGGACACTTTGCATTGCAGTTTTCATCACAATATCTGCATCCGATTCTGAATGCAGCACATGTACACTCAATGTTTTCCAACCTGACAGACAGAATTACCATCATTCCTATGCACTGAAATTATATTAATGAAAGACTCCCCAGATATCTGAGATTTTAATGTTCTCTGCCAGTTTAAATTCCGTTTAATAACCATAAATTCGTTTCTACATCATTATACATCCAATTGATAGTTCCATAGTAATGTACTCTTATGTAATGATTTATTTATCTGATGAATTTAAATATATGCAAATTTTGTAATTGCGGATTGTAATTAATAATTTAAACAATATTAAATTCCACAAAAACTACAACTTACATTATTTAGATAAGCCTAGTATAGAGAAGTTATCAAATACCCTAATATCAGAGTGGTGATATGCAATTATTCATCAAATAAAAGTGAGGTCACCTTAACATTTCACCTGGTGCAACTAATAATTCCTATTTTTCATACTAATAAGGTATAAACCTTCACAAAACTTGTATTTTAGATGATGACAAGCCTATATAAATGATTTAGATGTCAACTCTAATACAAATGTGATGCATTGTGGGAGTTAATCATCAAAACTATAGTCTCCCCAATAGTGGGCGGGGCAAAACTATGAAAATAGAATAATTTTTTTCTTCCTAAGTATACACCTTAGAATTCTGACACTCACCAAATATGAAGTTCATATGAATATGTAACTCCATGATTTTTTTCATGCTTTTCTGACAAACGGATCCTAAAATATCTAAATAGATATGTGATAACATGCCTGTTTTGTGGCCTATTTTGTTATACTTTGGGGTCAAATGACCAATTACTGGTCTCAAAATTGATTAAAATAATATTTTAATTATTTGTGAATATGTGATCTATCATAATAAAGCTTGTATACTTGACTAAAGTATTCCATTTGGGAAGAAAAAATTGTTTCCTACCAATACTCAATTTTGGGGTAGGGTTGTAGGGGGTACCTAGGAAGTGAAATTTCATATTTGTCCACTGCATACATTTTTCTATATTTTTGATATGTTTTTCAACTGATATTAATACATAATATAAGACTAATTAAAAAACTGTTGCAATTTTTGGGATGTTTGAGCCTTTTATGAGCCCATTTGCTTGGCCTATTTTGGTGGTGACATGAAAACAAGTTGAACTTGAAATTGCTGATTATTCAATTTCACGTTACATTGATTTCAATGGCATTTCGCGCTACTTGCTATCTTTGAAAGTGTGTAACTTTAGTTCTAGAAAAGCTTTTACCATGATTTTAGTTTATTTGAAAGATAATAGATTATTATTTTAAGCAGGCAAGCATTTCTAAGCACAAAAATGTATTGTGAAAGAAAATTGACAATTTATCACAAAATATCAAAGATGTCCACCCCCTAATAAAAATGACCCCCTCTTTGCAACTTGTCTTAAATACTCTAAGCGTTTCCGCTCCCTGTACATCGTAAAGAGAACATAAAAATATAACTCAGTATTTGACTTGAACTTTATTATAATAGACGATGTCAATTCACGGATGAATACAAAAGATTAAGTTTTGAAATGGTATAACTTGTGCAAAGATACATTATGTCTATAATATATTTTGCAAAAATGGTACCATAGGCCCGGGAGCCTGTATAAAAAAGATCGAGTCTAATACACCAAGTAAAGAGAATGCAACTAACGCCCGTCGGCTACCGGATTAACCTAGTGTTTTATTGGAAACTCATTTAAATATGACTTGAATTATCCCAACGATATACCAACTTGCCTTTGCACAGATGTAAAAATTATTTTCAATACGCAGGCCAATTTTTCAAATTAGGCCCTATTTCTAATAGATGAGGCCCCTTTTAGAAAGAACTAAATCCATATAGAATACAGGACTAATATATATTCACTGTTGTGGACTAACACTTGATGTATGTTGTGCCTTGCACCTGCAAAATACAACACGTCTCATACCTTTATTCAGTTCTTTGATCCTAAAAGCATAAATCCATGGATTCATGGCGCTATTAGACCATAAGAGCAATCTAAAAAACCTGTTCATATGTTGCGAAAATCCATTGTCGCCACGAAAAATCCACTTTGCAAGTGTTATGAACGTGCCAGGCAACCAGCATATCGTAAACAATGCAACTACTATAGTCATAGTTTTCATTAATTTAATCTCTCTCGCATATGCCACAGCAAGAGTGTTATGAACTACACTTAGTGTATGAATATGCTTGGAGCGTTGTTTGACTGCAACAATCGCCACAATGATATTTGAGACAAAGATGACCAGGAAAAGAACAACGATATTTACATTCGCAAAGATCATGTAGCCACGATTGAACAATTGGTGCACACATTTGTCAATGAATTCGTCAAAGGGGACAATCCGTTTGTAGAACATGAAACTAGAGATAACTACGGGATAAAGCCAACAAAATGTGATGAACAACAATACACGAGAGCGTGTTACAATCTTTTTGTATTTTAAGGGCCTTGTTACAGAAATGAAGCGATCCAAAGCAATGCCACCCATGGTGAAAAGAGATGCTCCTAATAGACATATATTAAAGTAATGTTTAAAGATACAGATGTATTCATTTCGTATGACCCCAAAGACAAGTGGTGTCATATATCGGTCGATTGTGTATAGTGGCAGAACCACCATCCCGATACAAAGGTCAGACACCGCTAAGCTCATGAGAAACATATTGTTCGCCGTGCGCAGAATTTTAAATGAGATGATACTTAATATCACGGGGACATTTCCCCCGCATATCAACAATGATAACAAACAACTCAGTGTTATCATAAATATGGCGAAAGGCTCAAGTGTTACCGATTCAAGATTCTGTAAAACTTCTGTGGAATTATTTACAGAATCATCAACTGTTGTGGATTCATTCCAACCATCAAAACGCAAGTCCTTCATCTTGGGTTTAATACTGAGATGAAGACGTTTACACAATTTAAAACTAAGTGTAATAAACCCTCATGCTCATTATAAATTTTAACCCGTTCATAACATTTATTTTATTATTTGTCCATGTTCAGTTCTCTATAGTCTTAACTGCATTATTGGCCAAGTAATTGTCCGCATTCAATTCTCTTCAATACTTAAACAATGACGATTCGATGATGACAATTGTCCGCATTCAATTCTTCTTCAATACTTAAACAATGACGATTCGATGATGACAATTGTCCGCATTCAATTCTTCTTCAATACTTAAACAATGACGATTCGATGATGACAATTGTCCGCATTCAATTCTTCTTCAATACTTAAACAATGACGATTCGATGATGACAATTGTCCGCATTCAATTCTTCTTCAATACTTAAACAATGACGATTCGATGATGACAATTGTCCGCATTCAATTCTCTATAAATACTTTAACGACGAGTCGATTTGATTGTCCGCATTCATTTGTCGGTAATCAGTTCTCTAAAGTAAATATAATACCATGGCCAATGTCGCATTTATTTTTTGCATTCATTTATAAAATAACTTAAACAATGTTCAAGATTTATTGTCCACCTTCAGTTCTGTAATTTTAAAAACGACGATTCAATTGTCCTCCATTCAGTTATCTACGACGATGCTTTATTTGGCCGTATTCAGTTCTCTTTGATGGCTAATTTATAAACGACGCTCTAATCCTACAGATCCAATTCTTTAAGGTAATTTAAACATGATTGAGGATTTAAATTAGATTATCCTCCAATCAATTACCTAGCGTAGCTTCAACAATAACAATGTTATTGTCCACGTTCCGGTCTCTTGGGGTCTTCAAAAATGAGGATTGGATTGACCCCCGATTGTCAACCTTCTGCTCTATTTTGACACCATCTTCAATACCTGTGACACGAGTGTCCAATCTCGTATCCTCCCCAAAGCAGAAGAAGCGTTACTTTCAGCAACAAGTCGTTTTTCTGAAAACCTTTCCTAAGCCTATTGCTTCCTTCAACGTGTTGTTGATTGGAATAAACGTCTTTTATCCAATCATTGTATCCGACAAAACACCTTCTTGAAATGCATCTGACGCATTTCTGGGGATTTTCTTTAATCAAAAGGCCCGCCAGGGGGCACCTTTATAAAGTAAATACCTGAAATGAACTTACAATAATAATTATAATCCTCTTAATAATGATGGCCTAGAGAGGTTGAGCTAAGGTCCTGAAAGCAGCGCAGCTGGTCAAAATGTCATTTCGGTTGCCACGGTGTTACTTTCCTATACAGCCATTTACCTTTTATTGTTTCAAAATTACTATAGTAACCTACATGTAGCTGGCAATGACCAATGAGCCTGAATGCTGTCCCAATAAATTCGGTTGTATGGTTTACTTTCGGCTGCATGGCCCAACCTCGATTGAATGGAAAAGATGCTGTCCCAATGAGCCTGCCTAAGCCTTAACTCTGATGCAACGTCAAATAACCTAAAATATAGGATCCTCATTTTGTTCGTTGTGATAGACCACGCACGGTATTTAGTGCACTCCATGGTTGATTCAAACAACAGATGCATCCTTCGTGGATGAATGATTAAGTGAAGGGGTCCTTCTACAGACCATTCAACTCAAACTCAGGTCATATACTCCAACAGATCCAAAGATGTTTACACCTCGAAATTATTACATTACGGCTTGGTGAGTGGGTTTAGTTTAAAATATTTTCTAAGGTCTAACTTTGTCCCAGTTAGCAATATGTTGATGGTATACATCGTGATTTGGCTGAACAATTTTATGAAAAATGGTGGTAAGATGCGATTTTCATGTTTGGAATCACTTTTTTAAAGAATGGACGAAATGGACTGTTCTTAGAATACTTTGAAATCATTTTTTAACTTTGATCGAAATCAGCCATAGTATTCTCCTGATGTCAATTTTAAATTTATTGTAATGGCTTCAGTTCGAAAGAAATATCCTTTGGTGTTCTGGTCTTGGATTGTGATTATGGAAATTAGCCTAAATGAAGGGGAGGGGGTATAAGGCATAGTTTATAAATTTCTTTTCACGTAAGATTATGGTTTGGGAAAATGAGGGTCTGTTTTCCTTATGACTAATGTACTACTCCAGGCCCGTAGCCAGGATTTGTCAAGGGGGGGGGGGGGGGTCAACAATTTCCATGGGGGGTTCACATTTGACAATTTTGGCCCAAATATGGCTAAAATTACTTGAGAAGTGCTCAAAATGGTAAAACACTGCATGATTTTGAGAGAATTTTTGCCCCGAACCCTGCGAACCCCCCTGGCTACGGGCCTTTACTCTTAGATATTTTTTCTGTGTTCTGTAAATCATTTTGGTCCCTTCCCTTTAGCAGTTGTACATACATATTCAATCCTACATGGAAGCAGAAATCTCATACAAGGCCCATAGATACAAGATACAAAGATTTAAAATGTAAGTGAGATCTAAATCTTAATCCAAAATGTAACTAAATAACTCAACTCATTTCAACGAGAACCAAACTCAGGACGAAAAAGAATACCGTCCAAATTTCTCAAATATTCAAGTTTTGATGATTGTTTTATAAGCAACAAAGTGCGATTTTACTGCGAGTAAAATCTTTTTAACCGTAGCCAAGGTGAAGTTGTGGACAAGCCACTCTTAGAGAAAAATTAGTGGGTTGCAAAATATTCATTAAGACAATCTGTTGCACTTTGGTCTTGTACCTTCTTCGAGAAATCAGGAACATCTTCCATGTATTTCAAGACTCTCTGGTCAATACTGGCGATATGTTTTGACGTTAATAATTTATAGTCCTCCTATGAAAGGGTTGTAAAAATTAAAAGATATTTTTTGATATAGTTGCATAATTTGACCCTCTCAATCAAACAAAGCTCATATAAGTGTCGGTCGTGCTAAGGACGAAGCATTTACGCCATACGCCTACACGGGAGGATGTTCACATCTTGGATTTCCAAGGTACGATGTGTTCATTGATTGAAAATCAAACTGGGAAACGAGCATGAGGATAACAGTCAAGGTAAATATAAACTAATTATACAATCGGAGTAGTATAATTTAATCATATCCCGGTAATCATGTTATATCTCAGTATGACTATATCGTGATTCTTCTATATGATGCATTATATGGTAAAATCATGGTTCTGATGAAAATTGTAAAAGCTTTTCTTATTGTGCAAGTAAGATTTAACTGTATGTATTGAACATATTGTATTGTATCGTATCCTTTTGCATTGTATTTATAGGATATCCTATGATTTTAAGGAATATCATTTTTATCTACAAGGTACCACAGAACAAAGCAAACGAGTGCAGATATCAATATCACCGAGTAGATTAAAATGATACTCTGAAAAAAACCATAGGATGTTCTTATTATCTTACAATTAGTGTACTAAATGTATAATATTGAAAACTATTTTAAGTCATTATGTGTCCTTTGATTTGACCATAGCCATAGATAACCATAGATATTTGATCTGACAATGGACATGTACCTACACGTAGATTATCCAGTAAGAATGTAATAAAGGACAAAAAACGAGAAATTAGATTGCATAGCTGTCAATTTTATATTTTTTAATATCTGTACAACATGGCTATACAAAATACATGACTATACAAAATACATAACTATACAAATACGTTACTATATAAAAGCTTGAAACAGTGTCCAGGCAAATTTTCTTTTCTATTCATCATGTCTAGGTCAATTTGTAAAACAAATTTCTTAAAACACAGATATGATTGAAACACTATTTACCAAGTCTGCCAGCAAACTCTTAAAATTTCACTTTCATAAATTGATAGACTCTTCATTTTAATTTCAGAATCAAATTCAAATACCTTAATGCGAAATAACAAATAAGTCCTACTTTTAAGACATTGGAATTTTTGAACTCTCTTTTGTTTAAATTTTAGTTACATATAGGATACATTTTCAGATTGGGGAACCCATGCCAGCTACATTATAAATCAGTCAAAATCAAAGTACTTTTAACAGATAAATGTACTGTTATTTATATTTTCCACTGTAAATTACTGTGATGTAAATAGTTAAAAGATACACTAATAAACATGATAGTACATGTATATAACACATTGTTATTTCAAGTAAATCTAATCATATTTCAGCACTAGCTATATATTCTCAAGCCATTGCTAGAATTCATTCTAAAACACTAACTGTACAATTCATTATAAAAATAAGTATAAAATTTGAATGCAAACTTTTATACAATGCACATTTTCCTTTATGGATTTCAATATTTACAGTATATAAATGTGGATCGAAATGTACATAATGTACATAGTGAGGATGTTTCAAACTACTGTTAAATTGCAATAAATAAGAATTTCTATTTCAATGATGACAAATTGCTTAAAATTTCATCAGTGGATCTTTGTAAGCTTTAAAATGATATATTGTACAATCATACAAAAAATAAGAGGCACTTATTACTCAAATATACTTAAGATATTGTCAAGTTTGCGAAAACGATAAAATCTGGATTTCCAAAAAAAGAAATAAAGATTTTCTAGAGGTCCAGATGAAATAAATTCATATTTTACTTGCATTAACATTTTTAATATAAATGCATTCAATAATTGGATTCTAACGACTCGAAATACATTATTAATTACACATTCCACTAAATGTAAAATTACATTAAAATTCTTCAGTTTGTTTAATGGTGATGTATCTCAATTAGAAGTTTAGTAAAATATACATCGATAGATACATTGATAATGATACAATAAAATGCTTGACTAAAATAGTCATTCCAAAAAATTGGCTCCAATATTAATTGTCTAGGATTTCATTAAAATGGAATTTAATCATCACAAAAATTAAATCACAGAAATTTTGTGATTTGATTTGAACACATTGGTGATAAAAAATAAACAATCATTTTATTGACAACTTCATGCAATAGCAAAGATATGTTGACTCCATTTATACATGAAATTATTTGTGAAATACATGACATCAGATTAATGTCTGATTTCATTTTATCCATGACATCAAATTAATGTCTGCCATCATTTTATACATGATATCAAATCTATGGCTGACGTTCCAACTTGAAATCAAATTAATATCCAACATCACTTTATACATGATATCAAATTAATGTCTGACATCACTTTATCCATGACATCAAATTAATGTCTGACATCACTTTATACATGACATCAAATTAATGTCTGACATCATGACCAATCACAGGCAATCCCAGCAGCAACATGATTATTTAAGTTTTCCTCCGAAACAGTCATAATGATCTGTAGTCAACTTAATATTCATAGTCAACATGACTACAAAATAGTCAATATGACTACAAAATAGTCAAAATGGTCCTTCAATTAATGAACATTAATTAGTCATCTTTATTTCACCACATTTATATATATTGTATGGGACTGTAATCTCCATCATTTTGATTTTTTATAGGGCCTCCTTGAACCGTTGCATAGTCATCTGATTTGACCATAGTCATCTGAGTTCATAGTCATCTAATTTGACCACATTTCGTCAGGTTTTGTTCCCATCTCATCCCATCTCTACAAAGAAATCGGGGATTTGTAACCTACTTATCCAGTGTGTATTTATTCGAGTGTTTGTGTGGTTGCTAGTGGGTGTCCACTTTCAATACAAGAATATTTTGTATACAGGCTCTAGACCGCTTGCACCATGTAAAAGAAACACACATAGATATCACAATTGGGCAATATATCAACACCAGGTGGTGCTCCGCATCGCCCCTTTGAGCACTTTCCCGGAACATGAAATTCCCCATTAAGTTGTTATTGCCTACACATGTGATTCACTTCCTGTATTTCCTATCGTTAATGGCTGTCGTTCCATTTGTTTAATTTTATCAAAATCATTATAATAGTCATGTTCTTGATCCTGATTGGAGGATGTCCGAGTCCTATTTTGGGGTTCTGATTTGGGGTTGCCCCGTTGCAATTCAGGGGCTCCAGTTTGGAAATATTCTGGATTGTCAATGTTAACTGGACTGTCAGGAGAGTCCATTTGTAAGTAATTCTCTTGGGATGGTTCCTGCTGGTCTTGAAGATTAACATAATCTGAAAAATAAAGTAGGTTTATAGAAATATATAGTTAATGTTGAATTCGCATTTTTGGAATAATAAACAAGACACACAGTGATAAATATCGCACTTTGAAGAGCAAACTGGCCACCATGCAATTTACCCAGCATGGCCAAAACCTAATCAGACCTTGGCACTAGTCTGCTCTTGCATCTGTAAACATTTCAAGTTGACAAGGTTAGCGGTTTTCCTGCAATTTTGATGACAAGAATTTATTTGTAGTCTTGAACTTTGGGAAAATTTAGATAACATTGTGACCTAATTTGATGACTTTCGACCTTGAAAATTTCACTTTTTCAGACCTCAGTAGGTGTTTTGTAATTAAGCTGACCTAAATTTAAATCCAAAATATCAATTTAGAAAATCAACTTTTTTGACCTTTTCAAGGTCACTGAAGGTGAACGAAAGGTCAACACTGAAATCTATGGTCAGATTTGAACTTCTGAGAACTTGTAGATGTTTTTAAAAAAAAGATTTGGTCAATTTGGAGCAAGTTGAAAAATTCAAAATGGCCGCCAAATTTAAAAATTCAAAATGGCCACCATGCAATTCAGCCAGCATACCTAAAACCTAATCAGATCTTGGCAATAGTCTGCTGTTGCATCTGTAAAAATTTCAAGTTGAACGGATAAGTGGTTTTCCTGGAATTTTGATGACAAGATTTGTTGAAAAATTAAAAATGGCCGCCACATAGTTTACCCAGCATGCCCTAAACCTAATCAGATCTTGGCACTAGTCTGCTATTGCATGTGTAAAAATTTCAAGTTGAACAGGTTAGCTGTTTTCTTGGAATTTTGATGACAAGAATTGATTTGTAGTCTCAAACTTTGAGAAAGTTGGATAACATCATTTGTGACCTAGTTTAATGACCTTGACCTTCGACCTTGAAAATTTCACTTTTTCAGACTTCAGTAGGTGTTTTGTAATTAAGCTGACCTAAATTTAAATCCAAAATATCAATTTAGAAAATCAACTTTTTTGACCTTTTCAAGGTCACTGAAGGTGAACGAAAGGTCAACACTGAAATCTATGGTCAGATTTGAACTTCTGAGAACTTGTAGATGTTTTTTAAAAAAAAATTTGGTCAATTTGAAGCAAGTTGAAAATTCAAAATGGCCGCCAAATTTAAAAATTCAAAATGGCCACCATGCAATTCAGCCAGCATACCCAAAACCTAATCAGATCTTGGCAATAGTCTGCTGTTGCATCTGTAAAAATTTCAAGTTGAACGGATAAGTGGTTTTCCTGGAATTTTGATGACAAGATTTGTTGAAAAATTCAAAATGGCCGCCACGTAGTTTACCCAGCATGCCCTTAACCTAATCAGATCTTGGTACTAGTCTGCTCTTGCATCTGTAAAAATTACAAGTTGAACAGGTAAGCAGTTATCCTGGAAATTTGATGACAAGATTTGGTTTATGTGCCGCCCGCCCGCCCGCCCGCACGCCCAACAGCACAAGACGACGACAATATAGCACTTTTTCAAAGTGCGATAAAAAGGATTTAATTGTCTATAGAGGAATTCATAATATTGAATACTGTATATAATTAATACATGTTTTTAATCATATTAGTATGGTTTGGATATCTAATATAAAACAAAAAAAGTTAAATTTATATTAATTTGACAAATGAGTGAATAAGTACAATGAGTAATATGTTAAATACAATAATTACTTTTATTGTCTTTAGATGGGACATTGCCATCTATAATGTCAATATAGTTAGAAGGACTAGTAGACTGTGGGGTAAGGTAATCGTCCTCATCAACGGGGAGACGCAGTGGCTGACCGTTGCTGCGCGGGTATTTGTCTACGAGAGGACTTGGGTGATGATGGTAGGAAGGGGTGCCTGGGGGTGGGGGTGAAAACACAGGAGGCTGATCATCTTCTGAAAAAAAAAAAAAATGATTTATACTTAATTTTTTTATTTTCTTACAAAAATATTTTTACTAAACAAAATGGTCATTTGAGTCACTGTGTAAAGAATTTGATGCAAAATTGGCATGAAATTGAATTGATTTGAAAAATGTTATCTTTGAAACTAATTATAAACTTTACCTCTTAATCGTCCATCATTCATACTAAACACCTGACAAGGTTCAGAAGTGTAACGTGAGTTAATGCTATCGCCACGCCCCCTATTATCTGCAGCAGCTTCGAGATGTCCGTATTTTTTATCCCGTATTTTCGGTAAGTTGACATTTGCCCCTTTGTTGTAGGGAAAAGCACCAGGCGTTCGTGGACTCCTCTGTTGTCTGCCGTCTGAGTAATCCATTGGTCGTCGTGGCGACTGAAATCATGACATGAAAATTAAGGACTATATTTCAATGACAAGAAATAAACAGTTACAAAATCACATTAAGAACAAGGCATTAACATAAAAAGTGTCACCACATGCCATTTGTTACTGATGCCAACCGCCAAACACCAACCGCTGTAGTTTGAGATTTCTGATTGTGACATAAAAACCAGAATTGATAGCATTAAAACTTATTTTTTATTTTAAATAAATTGTTATGAATAGAATAGGTGTACTTAGTTAGAAAATGTCTATGTATGTTAAAACTATTTTAAGTCATTTATCTATTAAATGTGCATACAAAATTAAAAAGAATTTTTTTGTTAGCCTTTATCAGGAAGATGAAAATAAATGAATGAGATAAGAGAAGAGAAAAGCGAAAACAACCACATGCAAAATTAAATGTTATCATTAATCTTTATTTTACTAGGTGTAAATAATTCTGAGAAAACTTATACACATTTGAAAGGAAAAAGTTGATAGAGAAATGATCTGTATTTCAGGTACATCAGTGAGGGAGGATAGGGGGAGGGGGGATTTGTGGAAATCCCCCTCCTCTCTCCCCACATAGGTCAATTTATTGAAAATCCATTCCCCATCAACATATTTAGTCAATATATGATTCCTAGTTTTCCAAAACGACAAAAAACCTGATGGGCCTGAAATTTTAATTGTTTATAGTGTGTTATTACAGGATGAGCCAAAGAAGGTAACACAAACGATTGTTAATAAATTAGTCATTCATTGGGAATAAAAACTTGATAGAATGAAAGAACATTGAACAAGGTTAAGTTATGCAAAATATGACTTTTAACCCATGCTGAATCACTGAGTTATTAACCTCTTGACTACCTGGAGTGACGAAATTTCTCGTCATCTCAGAAAATCTGTCACAAACTTTTTCACTAAAATTGCTCTTATTTGAACAATTTTCATCCAATTTACACAAAAATTGTTTTAAAATATGTAGAAATGATCTCTGCCACCTAATTTTACTAAGTTGAGCATCTGAAGTTGTATAGGTATGTAGTATAATGTCAAAAGGTGGCAAAAATGAAAAAATCTCTGGTTTCAACCGATTTTAGAGCCTGGGATTCAAGAGGTTAGCATACTTTTTGGCTCGCCCTGAACATTAAGAACCATTAAGAACATAAAGAACAATTAAGAACATGAAGAACCAAAAGTAATTAATTATAATAATTTACCATAGGCCCCTGTGAGTTTTTGTGTGGTGACATAGCCATAGGATTGGCCATGGGGTACTCAGCAAAGTCCAACTAAAATCAAACATAAATAAGAGGCATGCAAAGAATGAATAATAAACATAAATAGGTGAGGAGAAGGGGGGGGGGGGAGATGTTGGGGGCGGGGGGTGCAACAGAAACAATGGAAACGAGGGATCACTTCTAATATATCAAGTTATGCTCAAAGTACAAAGTTTTCTTCTTGAATGAAATTTACTTTAATTTAGATTTCAGACCTGCATTTCCTTTCCTATTTATTGTTTCACTATACAGTGAAACCTGTGTAACTAGAACACTTGGTAGCCCAAAATAGTGTTCACTTTGAGGTGTTCTATGTACAGAAGCTCATTTTATGATAAGTAAATAGGTAACATGAATTAAAAATGTGTTTCAATTATGGAGGTGTTTCACTTATAGAGGTTTTTCAGTTCATTGGTTTTACTGTATTTTAAAACACCTATTCCCAATACCAGCCCCAGTGTACAGTGTGTCCCAAAAAAAGGAAACCAGCAATAGATTGCTTATTTCTCAAATATGAATAATAATAGGAAAAGTTCACAGCAACCATCTGATAGGTTATGATGTCCTCTTTCTTATGATACCAAAGTTGTCTATTTTCCTTCACGGATGACTGAGTTATAAGGGATTTAAGTGACCATGTCAGAAAGGAGTTTGTACCACTTTCAGCTAAGTCAATTTCACCATCATAACAAAGTGATAAGTAACAACAAACATCAGGATATCACTCTTTTACTCATTTATTCCAATTAAAATTACACATATCATATTTAACACCCCTTTTGAATCCCAATGTCCATTCAAAGTTGTTTTAACCCCAGTGTCCTTCAACATGACCCCCATTCCTTTCGATGCAAATGTCTGCCCTTGATCTCATCGCACGTACTGCATCCCTGATGGTGACACTGGGGTTAAAACAACTTTGAATGGACATTGGGATTTAAAAGGGGTGTTAAATATGATATGTGTAATTTTAATTGGAATAAATGAGTAAAAGAGTGATTTCCTGATGTTTGTTGTTACTTATCACTTTGTTATGATGGTGAAATTGACTTGGCTGAAAGTGGTACAAACTCATTTCTGACATGGTCACTTAAATCCCTTAAAACTCAGTCATCCGTGAAGGAAAATAGACAACTTTGGTATCATAAGAAAGAGGACATCATAATCTATCAGATGGTAGCTGTGAAATTTTCATATCATTATTCATATTTGAGAAATAAGCAATCTATTGCTGGTTTCCTTTTTTTTGGGACACCCTGTATATACAAATTTATGTGCAAGAGAAAGACGAAGGAGTAAACATGCAAAGGTTTTAAATCATATGTACTTTCTCAATGCAATGGCATTGTCAGGATCTTGAGTTAGATGAGGCAATTTCAGATGGGGCAAATTTAGAAGAGGCATAAGAGGCAAAATTTGATTTTGGTGAGGCATTGCCTCATCTGCCTCACTATGCCCCTACAATTGCCTCACTATGCCCCTCCAATTGCCTCACCATGCCCCTACAATTGCCTCACTATGCCCCTCCAATTGCCTCACCATGCCCCTACAATTGCCTCACTATGCCCCTACAATTGCCTCACTATGCTCCTACAATTGCCTCACTATGCCCCTACAATTGCCTCACTATGCCCCTACAGTGTGAGATCATCATAACGAAAAACATAAACTACCACCAATTATTTCAAAATATTGAAAAGCAGAGTAGAATAACCTTTTTTTCCATTTAGTTTGCTTATTTCTCTCTGGTTCTGTGACAAGAAGCATATTCCCTAATCCTCATTTTAACTACCCTTTTAAAGTAAAATTATGGACATTTGATATTTCCAAAAATGCACTTTTTCCATGTTTGCCTCCAAAACTGGCTGTCTGACATATTTTTGGAGATAAATGATGACCATTTGAAACCTCTAAAAATGCAATGTCTTTATAACATTTACCTGCAAAATTGGCTGTCTGTCATATGTTCCTTCTTCAGAAATAACATTCTGTGGCTGAAGGTATTCCTCGGCATCGACAATCTCCTCTGGACCATTTGTGTCGCTGATGGAGCGTACCAGGTCACGATTGTTGTATGTCTCACTCGGCAACCGCATTAATTTGTCTCCCTATGGATAAAAGAAAAACTGTTACAATTTTTGCAACTAAAAGTTAATCTGCAAATGCGCAACTCTCTTTGTCCCAATTCTTTCCCTATAACTTAAGAATGTATTGTTTTGTTTTGCTGTCTCCAATTTTTTAAGCATTCAAATGTGGAATTATTTTCTAGATCTATTGTATACATATGAATTTTACATATTCTTTAATTTATCGGTTCACCTTGTCAAATCTTTGCGACCATGTTATTGATACAATGTATACAAAAAAAACCATCACCAGTAGATTATTTTTGAAATGTACACCATCCATGCTTCAATGAACTAACAAATGTGAATTAAGATTTATAAATATACACTCCCCTCCATAAGTTTGAAAACTGGAAGTCTCCTTTTGAATCATTAATCAAATACCGGGTTGTCGAACTTATGTTGGGGAGAGTACACCAAGATCTACAAACAGGACATTGGCTACATTCAGGGTTCTCACCAGAAAATTTTTAGACCTCTGATTTTTTGCGGTGTCACGACAAATCCTCAATCAAGTGAATTTAAAATTATACAAACTTTGACCTTTGACATCTCAAACTTTGACACATTGAGATTGGAGATTGGAAATACTGAATATTATCTGCTGATTTAATCACAAACACATTTCAAAAAGGTGTGTGACTTTCTATTCTTTGTTTGTATCCAAATGTTATGTATTTTCTCATAAGTTTTACCATAAATTGTGTGACAGGAATATCAAATTAAAATCCAAATTTCTTTTTCTGAAACATTTTAGACTAAGGCAGAACTGTCGGGCTAAAGCTGGTGAGAGTCTAGACTCATTAGAGAATGGAGGAGCCCCTGAGTCTAAAAGCCCAGTGAGAACCCTGACATTCCATAGAAGGTTTCAACTACAGGCCTGTAGCCAGGATGGGGGGGGGGTTGCAGGGTTCGGGCGAATCATTTTGAACACTTCTCAAGTGATTTTAGCCATATTTGGACCAAAATTGTCAAATGTGAACCCCCACTGGAAATTTTTTGAGAACTGAACCCCCCTTGGCAAATTCTGGCTACGGGCCTGAACTACATATGGAATTTTTCTCTTTGGCACTAAATGATAATAGTACCATGCAACTAACATGCTTATGTATAAAGGATACACAGTGTTTAGGTTTAGATTTAAGGTGAACAAATGATTTATTTTTGATAGCTACATCGGCTCTTTAATCACTCAGGAAATAATCTGTAAACTTTGGAGTAGTGATATTCTTTCCTGTCATGACTGAATTAATTTGGATTATCCAATAGCCGAGTTGCATGAGTATCAATACTCAACAATTGGATCTCAAGTTTGTCAAACAAGAAAATTTTTGAAAACCTAAACCCATTTATTATACTGATAATAGAAATTGTCTTTTAGCCAGTATTGTAGATGTTAATAATATGTCATAAAATTCAGCACACCCTGTATTTATGTAACAATCAAAGCAAATAAACCTTCACAGAAATATGCCAAGTGATCAATTCTACAATGTACATACAAAACATATACATCTATTAAATACATGTTAAAGAAAATATGTATTAAACACATGTTAAAAAACATGTAGTAAACACATGTTAAAGAAAATGACTGTTTATAAAAAATGGTTAAATGACAATAAGAAGAATCAAAATAAAAACATTTAAAAATATAAATTATAACTTCACCACAGGGAAAACCTAAATAAACATCAACTTTTCACCACCGCCAACTCATGTTTCCAAAGCAACCAAATTTTAAACAATACCCATTTAAAAGTTATAAATAAGATACAAGCAAAAGTAAAAAATTGAAAGGAACAAAAGTTATTATAATGATCATAAATCAGATAATTTAGTTGCCATGGAAACCAAAACATTGCACAATGCAAACCTCATGAGCATCATTATCGTAATCAGAATCTTCAGTAGTGACAGAGCCATAATGACGTTCTAAGTCATCTCCCTAGCAACAGACAGTAGCATGTTAGACCATATAAGGTAATATATGACCATATATGGTAAGTGAGAATATAGAATAGCATACATCACCATATAAAGTTCATCTGACCATATATGGTATGTGATGAAATGTATTGTCTGGCAATATATCACCATATAAGGTACCTATGACCATATTAAGTTTTAAACTCTGTTTAAAGACGGGAAGACCAAATAGAATAGGACATTAAAGAATCAAGAACGTTATCTGAACCAGCAAAATAAAAGCTTCAATGTGTTTGTGAAATCTACATTCAGTCTTTATTTTCTAATGATGCAATAGTAAAGAGTTTCACATCTAAACTTAAACTTTTACAAGCACACAAGAAACAAGAAAAGAAGTGATAGATGGCACCACCTTTGCAGATCATGAAGCATGGAGACTCAATAGGGATCAAGCCCACGTCAAATTCACTAAGTACAAAAATTTGTTCCAATTGTAAAAGCTGTAGTTTCAAATTTGAGTTCAAAACCTGAGAGTAGTTTTATAGCTCTTTTAAATTTCTTACTAGAGCCATCACGTGTGTGTAAAATGAAAATTTTTTTTATTCACATTCTATTGTTTTAATGACCTCGTGGGGGGGTTAAAGTGGAACAAATTTTGAACCTAGTGAGAATATGTCATGGTAGGATTCCCGTACAAGGCATGTGAAAAGAAGCAAATGATTCTATTGGTTGCTATGGAAACTTACTTCAATGACAAGATATCGACCAGGATCGCGCGCCATTTTGGAGAATTCCTCAGCCAGTTCGCGGAATGACGGCCTGCTGTCTGCATCTAACATCCAGCCTAGGAATATACAAACAATATTAACAATATGTTTGGAGGATTCTATTTTTCATTTTGGGTTTCATGTTATGTGACAATTCTCAGACTGTAACTAGCTTTTATAAAATATTGTAATCGTAAGGTAACATATGGGTCATGTCATACTTTTGAAACAAGAGGAAGGAATATCCCAGAATTCCTAGAAGTTCATCTTCACACAGAGATAGTTCCTTTTATGAATTTTGGCTAAATTCTCTAAACTAAAATTAACTGAGACTTTGAAACTGTTCTTCCACAATATTTGAGAGAATGTGATGAGACTTATCTACATTATACTAGCAATATGAATCAGTCTAAAAGAAAGAAATGATTATATCACACATGATACTTACATTTTATCATAATCATGTAAACATCTATAGTACATATACTAGGTTGGGGTAACCTCTCGCCTTTTTCTAAAAGATCGGGGACATCTCTTGCCCGAACATTATCATACGGCCTCTGACCATATGTGAACAACTCCCATACAGTGACACCTATAAGTAGAAATGTGCGTTATGTAAAAAGTTTTTAATAAGTTTAAGTTTGAAAAAATCAAATATGAAAAATATAAGCAGAATCAACAATAACAATATTATTTAAATAATCACTCAGCATTATAATCATAAATGTTATAAATGCATTATATTGAAAAATGCATTATATTCATGAATGCATTATGTTAAAAATGTATTATATTGATAAATGCATTATATTCAAAAATGCATTATGTTAAAAATGCATTGTGTTAAAAATGCATTGTTTTCAAATATGCATTATGTTAAAATGCAATATTGAAAAATGCATTATATTGAAAAATGCATTGCAGTAAAGAAAGCAAGAACCTTTCGCATCAAGCCAAGATTTTCTTTTACTCACCAAAACTCCATATATCACTTTTATGCGTAAATATTCTATGTTGAATGCACTCCAACGCAAGCCATTTTATGGGCATCTTTCCCCCAGCAGCATGATATTCCTCCTCTTGGTAATCAAGCAGTTTAGCAAGACCGAAATCTGTGATTTTCACCTAGATGAAAAAAGAACAGTCAAATCAGGATAGAATTTAGACCCTAAGGGTCAAGGTCAAATACTGTTATTTGACGAACGACCAAAATGTGTGTGTATGACTGGTTTTTAGATGTTATGTTAACTTATTTTAACTAAATTAATTTAACTGGAAGTAAATCATAATTTCACTAATTATATGGCAATAAATTTCATTATCGTATGATCTGTAAAATGAAGCCTTCTGATTGGTCAGTTCTTGTGCTGTACCAATCTGTATTGCTACTGAGATTGTCTCCATTGATCATCTCCGTCGCAATACAGAAAATATTGGTATGGAGGGGACATTCTCAGTAGCAATACAGCGGATCACACGATAAAAACGTTATAGAATGCCATTCAATAACTTATAATACTGGCAAAATCATAATTCCAATACTGGAAAAAATCGCATGAATTACCTGATTTGGTCCCTGTACTAACACATTCCTTGCAGCAAGATCTCTGTGGACAATGCCCCTTCCTTCAAGGTATGACATGCCCTAAAAACAATGGAATATACTATTAAAAACAATGGAGGATATTATTAGGTATGGATATCATTCATCGTATGGACAATGCCCCTTCCTTCAAGGTATGACATGCCCTAAAACAATGGAATACTTTATTGAATATCATCCATCATTGCTCATTATAAGCCATTGTTGATCATCATTATAATTCATTGTTGCACAATATAATTCATGAATAGAGTGAGACATATAAAAGCCAATGGGATCATCAAGTGTTCGAATTGGGAGGTTTTCGCTTTTCAAGTTTTTTTAGGGTAGAAGTCTATTGCAAATTGGACCAAAAAATGTTCATATTTAGAGATGTTCAGGTATACAGGTTTAACGGTATATGAACTATCCAATGTAATTCATAGAAGTAAGAAAATATATTTTCATGACAAAATTCTCACGTGCCTTTTTTCTCACAAAAATTTAAAATGAATATATATACTCATATCAATGGTTGAACGTTTAGTTAGACTAAAAGAGATCGTCACATCACACTCAAATTCTAAAACATTTTTTTTCTAAAACATTTAGTTACCTTGGCAATTTGGGCACACCAATTAAGCAGGACTTTTGAGCCAATATTTGATTTATTTTTTCGGACATAATCCAGGAGGCAACCTAGGGGCATAAGTTGCGTCACAAGCATCATTTGTGCCGTCATGCAGACCGCCAATATCCGTACGCAATATGTGTGCTCCACAGAGGCCATGACACGAGCCTCGTCCAAGAGTTCTTTATTCTGATTGGGTGTTGATTCTTGTAAGACCTTAATGGCCACTGGGATTTTGACGCCTTCATTTTCTGGGATCCAAACACCCTGAAAATATATTCAATATTTCAGAATTAAATTCACATATTCTATTCTCATTTTACTCATGATAGCAAAATATATTCAGCTTGCCTTATTTATCCAATATGGTAGTCTTGAATAGATCATATAAATACATTTCATTGCATATAAATATAATTCAAAATCATTTCATTTCTTTTTATATGTAAATGCCAAAACACTTTTAGTAAAAGATTGGATAAACATAAAACATGTACTAAATTTTGTGATTTTTTACAATAAAATGTACAATAAAATTACACAAATTACAATGAATATTGTAGTTTGATTACCTTATACACTGTCCCAAACGCCCCTGATCCAATTATCGCTCCCTTTCTGAGTTCAGATTCCTTCGCAAGTCGCATCTGAGATAAATCTGGTTTTGCATCAGTTGGCGTCAAAGGCTATATATGCAAATAGTTGAATATTAATTATTTTGTTAATGTTTCATGTGTAACAATAACTGATTTAAAAAGGCTTAAAAAATAAATGTTTAGGTTTTTATTTTCATTTCATATAAAAGCTTCTTGAGTATTGGACTGCATATGGTAAATGATAAAAATAATACTGATTAAAGAGAGCTTAAAATTTACAATTTTAAATACATGTTTACACGAAAAAATTCAATCTTATGATCACAACTAGAGTTAATTCAAGAAAAATATATACGAGGGGTGATCAATAAGTAATGTACGCTTTTTTACACGGATGCTTTTTATGGACCAATCTTTTTGATTTCCGTATGCAGATGAATCACAAATGAGCCTCTTTTTCTATCCCCTACCTCATTCTCATCATGGATACCAGTCATTCTCGCTGTGATACGTGTTGTTTGTTCTTTGTGTTTGGCCCTCTCATTGCAACAATATGCAAGAATGATCACTCCCGCGATCAAAAGTACGAGCGACCCAACGGATGATCCAACAATAATTCCAATTTTTTGCTGATCATTTTTTCTGAAAGAAAATTAATTTCGATTTGAAAAAAAACTTGGATTAACATATATTTCATGCATTCATACCAGATAATGTTTAGTGAAACTTTTTGTGATACACAATATGTGTGAGCAAACTCCTGAATTTTATTTATGCTGTTTAATAATTTTTGTGTGATATACAGGGCGTTCAATAAGTATTGCTAATTTTGCTATAACTTTTGTTCTGTTTGCTTTTTCTTCATGAAACTTTCACAACATAAGGTACATATATCTGACTTTATTCTATGAAAATGTCAAAATGTCAAATCCAATCAGTATTAACAAAGTTATGGTTACTAAGGTAACCAGTATCATGGATATGCGGGGCAAATTTCACTTTGGACAACATTTTGAGTGTTGAAAGCAGTATCATTTAATGCCGTTTAGCTCTTGGGATATGCAGTGCAGTTATAAATAATCCATTCCAGAGTCACTGCATGATCCATATTAACTTCATGAGGTGCTCAAAATAGGCAGGCACCCTTAGCGTGAATTCACAGTTGCAGTCTGGCGACCCACTCGTGGTACACATTTTTGAAGCCACCCTTAAAGTGTGTGGCTAGGGAGGTGTTCACTGCAGACATCAGCTGATTGAGATTCTGATGCGATATTCCTCTCAGATCCCTTTTCACTGGGGCAAATACAACAAAATCAAGTGGGGCCTAATCTGGGAAATATGCTGCGTGGGGCAATGCTTCCATGCCAAGCTCTGTTATTGTATTTAGGAGAATAGAGGATCTGTGAGCAGGGGCATTATCCTGGTGAACCGTATAGGTCGATATTGCTTTTTAAGGACGTTGAAGTGTGTGGCCAGGGATGTGCAGTGTTCACTGAAGACAACCGCTGGTTGAGATTCTAGTGCGATATTCCTCTCAGATTTCTTTTCACCACTGTTAGATAATACATATAATTTAAACTGACAACATCAAGATTTGACCATATCAACAGTTTTTATTCATTAAAGTGTTTATTTGATGTATAACAATAATTCATCATGTAAACCCTTAAGGTTGCCCCGCGTATCCGTGACAATGGTTACCCTAGTAACCATAACTTTGTCAATTCTAAGTCGGTTGTCCAGAATTTTGGATAGAATAAGGTCAGATATGAGTTGCTTATGTTGTAAAAGTTTCACGAAGAAATATGCAAAATAACAAAAGTTATAACAAAATTAGCAATACTTATTGAACGCCCTGTACATGTAAACTAAATGTTGTGTGAGTGATGTGCTTTTAGATATAAATTATATGTGATACATAATAATTATGTGTGATATAAAACATGTGTGTTACATAATAATCATATGTGAAATCATTTATATCAACTCCTAGATGTAGGCTGAGTGCCTCACAAATGTTTGTCAAATGTTGCCCTTGGCTAATTCTAGAGTTCCCTTCTGATTGTTATTATATATCATTAAGCAAAAAAAAGAATTCAATGATGTCATATATATTTGACCTTGCATTCTTTCATCACCTTGACAACATGCAAAGATGACACAAAATGAAAAAACATCATGCATGCATTGCATTATTTATGCATCAGATTAAAATGCATACTACAGGGCATCAAATAAAGGGGGAGAACAGACTTATTTGACACCCTGTATATGTTATTGTAAATTGAAATGTAAAATTTAAGAAATGAAAAAAAATCATGCATGATAAAGAGTATCTAATACATGCTTTGTATGCAAAGTTATAACATTTTCTTATGACAATACTTGGCTTATTTCCATGGCAATGGGGTATATATACACCCCTTCCATAAGTCTGGCACCTGGATATCGCATTTGGATTGTGTGTTAATACCTGTTTATGTTTGAGAGTTTATGAAAGATCATCTAATTTGTTATTTTCTGAATTATTGTACGAGGGGTGATCAATTAGTAATGGACGCTCTTTTACACAGATGATTTTTGGATAATTGAATGATGTATCACTGGTGAAAAAATCAAAGAGATTGGTCTATAAAAAGCATCTGTGTAAAAAAGTGTCCATTACTTATTGATCACCCCTCGTATATGTAATAATAAATGAACTAAATTGAGATTCAGACATTGACAGTTTTGTTAATCCAATTAAGACTTTCAGTTGCCAAACTTATGCAGGGGAGTGTATATACATGTTTTTATTAGATGAATCAAAAAGCTATGTGAAATTGTAAAAGCTTTGTCGATATGGAGGGGAGTGTACATTCATGTTTTCATTAGTTGAATCTAAAAGCAATGTGAAATTGTAAAAGCTTTGTCGATCAATGTTAAAAAGCAATTATCAGTTGCCGAGAAAATACTTTGCAAAAAGTGTCTCATTTTTTTGGGACACCCAATATATTTTACAATGATTTACTCAGTAACAGGTTCAGTAAAATCTTATTCAAATGCCACTGAGACCAGGTGTTCAGATTTCAAGGTTTTTAAAACTGGTAATCTATGGCATATACAGGTTTTACTGTATTTAATTATTAAGTCACAATTTTTTGGGTCAAAAGTAAGGATTAATTTTGAAAGAAATTCAATTTCTTCATCTCAAGCAAAGGTGATACCTTAAGAATGAGGTATAAATAGCGCATAAATAGAGTACACAGAAAAAGCTTTTGTAGAAAAACCATCGTTTTTTTTATTCTCAAAAACACATAAAAGCTTTACATCTACGACGTATACTAGCATCCTCCGATCACAGGGCTTCAAAATCCAGAATATATTCTTTCTTTTTACCCCCTGCTATAAGCAGTTAGCATTTCCCCAATTAAGAACTCGCAATCTGATTGGCTGTCGCAACAGTGTGACAGAAATCATGTATAAGTCATTGTGCATAATTAGATCACGTGATTCAGTTTAATCGGGCGCTTCCAAATTGGTTATAGCAGGGGGAAGAAGGAGGTACAGATTCTGGATACCTGCTTAGGAGGAAGCTATACTAGGAATAAACTAGAATTAGATGTAAATGCATAACCAAGCAGTTTGAGTCGTTTTATAAGCATTAGTAGAAGGAAATAAGGTTATGAAACTGTGGAGTGAATACCAAATGTTTACCAGATGAACTATGCTGTTAGACCCTACCTTTTTGCCGCAATCCTAGCTGCGATAACAGGATGTGTGACACCTACGCATAATGTCTCCCTGTCGCCTACGATGCGATAGGTCTTATCCTCTGGGCATTCTGGGATGCAATTAGTCTAAAGATACGAGGACAGAAGATGACATTAGGCCTATAGTTCTAGAAAGCGGCTATACAGCTGCCGTGTAGCAAGAATTTAAGTGTCAAAAGCCACTCTCGAATTAGATTCCATGGCTCTATCTGAATTTCCCAAGTTTTTATAGACCAACATAGTTTCCCTATATATGTGGCCTTATTTTCAAAAGCATCGTGTTGCCTCAACAAAATCTGGGAAGACAATTGAAATTCAGGAAAAGTGTTTGAGACACCAATACAGTTCACATGTGCATTCGATCAATTGAATAAATTAAAAATTTGGAAAAATTGATTGATGAAAACACAATAAAAAGAAATCTTGTTCTAAGGGCTGGTGTGAAAAAGTAAATCCACCCCAGTTGGGATCAACCCACTACCCCTTAAAGTAATGTTTTTGATTATATTGGCATTTTGCTTTTGTATCCCTAATGATCAAGTAAATTAATTTTTGTACAGCCATGAAATCTTTTTCATAGAGTGCAAAGCTTTGACGTAACAGGTGACATGCGGGTGAAATGATTAGATTGAGACAATCTGAAAACTTTGACCACAAAGTTAGTATAAGGGGGTGACATTTTCTGGATTGAAAACTACCCTCCCTTACAATTTAATAGTTTAATTACTCTGATATAACTACAAAATGCTCTTCAGTAGAGGAAGCAAACCTCTAACAAAGGGTTTTATCAGGTCAATTCAAATTGTGATCAAAGTTTTCAGATCATCTCTTTACCACACAAAACAACACAATGGGGTTTGAAAGGAGTTGAGAATCAAGATGGCTGCCATTGCCATGACAACATGCTATTACAGTCCACCATGCTGTTTTTACCTTTCCTGTTCGAGTTTAGCAGCGATTATTGGATTCTGTGCATTCACACAGACTTTTTCATCTGTTTCCTCTTCCTGAATATCGTAAAGTAAGTCTGGGGGGCACTCAGAAGTGCAATTGAACTGAAATGTGCAGTTATTGAACTAAAATGTGTGCTCTGGTGGGGCCTCTCACTGGCTGTTCATAAATAAAGGTGTTCGAATTCAGCGAATTCATTTGTATGGTGAATCTGATATGGAGAGGGAGGGAGGGGTGATTTCAACACAAAGGGTGATGGTAAAAGAACTATGAACTGGGGATACAAAAATAAAAAAATGGCATCAGCAATATGTCAAGGAGAGGGGGAGGGGGGGGGGGGGGTAATCACATCAACATATTGAGTGGTTCCATTTGAATAATAAAAAATGAAATTCATAATCATTTTATATTCATATATTTATGTTATATTTAGCTGCCAGTCTTCTACACAGCCACATAGAAGTCAATTAAACTAATTCTATTCTCCATTACTGTACATGGCTAATTTTCTTAATTACAACACTTTTTCTTGGGGGGGGGTTATGCTTTAAACTGATCTAACACATTCGTTATTTATGTATTTGTGCCATAAAATCAGAAGTCCATATAATGTTGTATAATTAGTCAGTTTCAGCACATTCCATAACTTGTGGAAAAAGCTAGAGGATTAAAAACACTGTTGGTTTCTGCAGCTACCGATAATAGACCAAGCTCAAGTGTGTTGTAAAAGATTCTGCTTTGTCTTCAAATAAAAAAAATTGGAGAGCTTATAATCATTCAAAGATATCATAGATTTCATATGTGACACAAGAAGTTGACATTAAGCAAGTTATGAGCTATTTGAGTTAAAAATAACCATTGCATCGGCATGGTCAAAATATCATGACAACCCACAGGCCCATAGCCAGGATTTGCCAAGGGGGGTTCACTTTTTGAAAAATTCCATTGGGGTTCACTTTTGACAATTTCTGTCCAAAAATGGCCAAAATCACTTAAAAAGTGCTCAGAATGGTGAAAAACTGCATGAATTTGAAAGAATTTTTGGCAAGGGGAAGGGGATTCGCCTGAACCCATCGAACCTCCCCTGGCTACGGGCCTGATCCAGGCCATTATCGGTAGCTGCCTTTATATCAATTGTGAATAGAAATCAACCACACGTCACACTATTCCAAACTCCAGGTAAACAGAGTTAGAAATGGACACATGTTAAATAAGAGCATTTAATTATTGCATACACCCCCCTCCAAAAGTTTGGCAATCGGGAAGTTTTCATTTGATAGGGTGTAAAGTCTTTTTAATGTTTTTTATTTTTTTGTTGTTTCATTACATCAGCTCGGAAAGTTACGTACGGCTAATTTGTGGAGTTTTTTTTAATCACTAAACAGTAAACATTAACCGCCTTTAACAAAAAGGGACTTCCAAAGGGGACTTTCAGTTGCCAAACTTATGGAGGGGAGTGTATATGACAATAAGAAAGCAATTCCAAATCATTTCAAATTATACATGTCAATATCATTAAACATATACACAGTTTATAAAAGTGGAAAAATATAAAAACATGGTAGTTTAATTCCTAATGGTGAGAGAAAGTTGGCATTTAAAAATTATAATTCAAAACCAAAGTTACTCAAAAACTGAAAATAAATGCATTTCTTGAAAAGTATTTTCATGAATGCTTTTCACTGGTCGAGTTGTGTCATTAACCCTTATGTGTCCAGAGATAATGAGGAAAATAAGATGTCCTCGACATTTAATTCATAAGTCATTTTTTATCTAAACAGAAGACCATATTCATAAAATTCTCATCATCATTCATGAGTCATAATTGAATTGAAAAAAAATTATTGGAAATAAACAAATAAAAAAAAGATGAAAAACTTACTATGTTATTCTCTTCATCTATATAAACTTTGAGAAGTTTGCAGACATGACATTGGGTTGAGTTGGGACCCGTGCAACCACCAAAGCATTCATCGCTGCATCTGTAAAAAATCACCATATATGCAACATGACATCACTTCCTGTTAGGTATATTTCAAAATGGCAGCCAAGTTTAAATGAACGAAACATTTTTAAATCAGCAAACTTTAACTTTGAATCCAGATTTTTTAATTTGATAAATACGGTACATATAATGTTTGTCATAAAAGTTTAAATATGATAAGGACACATATTGAGCCTCAATATGTGCATATCTTTAAATAGAGAATAATATCATTATTTTCAAGGAAAATTGGCAACCAAGAATCCTTCCTAATCTTTGTTCGACTGGCACGGACCAATTTGGTAATAATATTACCAAAATGTTCATCTCCAGACTAAATACTTGATCTGGCGATGAACATTACAGTGATATTATTACCAATTTGTTCCACTCCAGTCAATGAAGATTGTAAAAGAATGCTGGGACCAAATCCTTGTAGATTATTTGTAATCCAATAAATTAAACCATGGAGTCTTACCTATAGCATGCCTTCTCGACCAAATCTGGGTAATAATCTTTACGGCATTGAGACACACATTGGCCCTCTTGTTCGAAGTGTTTACATCCTATACACAAGCCAAGTCCATCTCCGTTACAGTGGTCACACTGAGGATGACACTTTTGGCAAATCTAAACAGAAGACCAAATTCATAAAATTCTCACAAACCACAAACATTCACAAGAAATTAACAAACTAACGTCAATTTGTATTTAAATTATTTTGTTTGTAATATATTCATAAAAAATGATATTTTATCAATCTAGAGCTATGGTAGGTGTGAGCATTTTTTCATCAATCACTAAATATAAGGTAACATTATAAGTTTCAGTGGCGTAGCGTGGGTATTTTTGAGTGTATGCCACGAGGGAGCGAAGCGAACGATCTTTGAGGGAGGTTCGGGGGTGGGTCCTCCCCCAAGAAAATTTGAAAATGAGATTTCAGTTGAAGCGCTCTGGGGCGTATTAAAATATGAAATTCCGACGAAATGGACTAATGACATTTAAATTATTGGTCATTTTATCCATTTTTAAAGCGTGAGGCAATTCAATCTAAAAATCAACTTTCCTCTAAATTTTGAGAGTACGCCATCACGTTTTATGCGTATATGACGCTACGCCATTGAGTTTTATTTGATTGAAAAGCATACATGCATGTCACATATTAAATACTAAATATGTCACACCAAATTAAGGTGACATCAAATTAAGAGATATAAGGAAAGATCAAACATTATGTAACCACCTGCGTGTAATTATAAAAGAGTAACAATGCGTTACAAATGTCATGGTAACAAAATTAAATGATGTTTAATAAAGCAGGTATAATGTTCAGTATTTTCAGTAAAAATAAATCAGAAGACATGAACCAAAGGACAATGTTTTTTTGGCAAAAAACTAAACTTACTCTTCGTTCACCCCTAGGTTTCATGAAGTAACCATGGGCACAGTTTTCGGTATCAGGAGCCAAACATCTCGCTATCTTATTGGGATTATCATCTTCTGCCTGTGAAATTTCACAATCGTTACAGGCCCCCAGTCCAATAGTGTTGTTTGGCCCTGTACATCTGAAAATAAATAAATTGGATTTAATTGGTGTGCTGTAAATTTAGTTAGTGTTACAATTAACCTGTGTATATTGAACATAAATCTGCTGAGAAAAACATTCAGTGTCGGTAGGTGTTCACAACAGAGAGGATAATTTATAAATAAGTCAACAGAGTATGTGCGGAGGAAGGGTGTCCATTAGAGACAGGTGTTCCCTAAAGATGTGTTCACTGAGACAGGTGTTCACTAGAGATGTGTTCACTGAGACAGGTTTTACTGTATATGGAAATCATTTTCAATTTCAACCAGTTTAACTGGTAGTGGTATTTCTTTTATCTCAACAGACCTATTTTAACACATGATAAACCCAAATATTGCATCTTATTTATTCAAAAATCAAAATGTTGTTAATACATGTTAATGTACTTTGCATTTGCCGAGTAAAAACAAATGTTAAAATCACATACTCTCCGCTCCATAAATTAGGCAACTAAAAGTCTCATTGGGGATCATTCGTTAAAAGCTGATTATATATTTGGCAATTTGAAAAAATTGTTTTGGATTTCTTAAGTACTATAATTAAGGAATAAGGAACAAAATTAATATTAAGACATTGACAGAAGTTGATATCCTATCCAATGAAAACGTCCAGTTGCTAAAATTATAGACGAGGAGGTTGATTCTGTGTTTGACATACCCAGCTCCTTCAAGACAGTTTTCATGGCATTTCATACAATGATTGCTAGCGTTTGGGTATTTCATAGTGGGGCATTCCGCTTTGCAGTATGGACCATCTTTCACGTTCTTACATCTCTTGCAATTGTTAGAATTCTACAAAACATTCAACTCATTAATATGCATGTTTATATATTCAGGTGGATAATTATGGTATGCACCTGTTAGCAGATATGGTGGAGACTTATTACTCAGTAGATAAAATACAATTTTGGCTATTTGTGATGATGTACTGTTTATGAAAAGTTATAAGTCGAACTATGTTTATTGTAAAAAATGAAGTTCAATGCATTAAAAATATATTAAGGCTATGCGATTTTACATCATAAAAAATACATGCAACTTATATGGAGCTAGTTTTGCTCCATGGAGCTTATTTTACTACACTCATCCCAAATATTCAACTTATTGGTAACTGGTAGAACCAAGGCATGACCACCTGCCATTTGTTACAGACACAGAATGCCAACCACCAACCTCCAAACACCAAGCACAAAAATTTGGAGAGTATTACAATATGTCGTCACTTGTGATGGTGACATAAAATATAGTAAAAATTAGAACATAAAATATATCTAAAAAAACGTACTGGTCCGGTACACATGAAAGTATTCCTTCTAGTTACAGGTGCACATTCTTCATGACAGTCCTCGCATGTGTTATCCCCCGCGTGAAATATTCCTAAAGATGGCAGGCATTCCTCTATGCATATATCTTTGTATTGCTTGTTGGAGCATGCCTGACACATATTATTACCACGACCCCAGCAGCCATCACTGGTGCATTGTGGGTCACATATTTCACCCGCCGCGGCTGAAAGACGTAATTTGAAGATAGTAAGCTTTGATCATCAGAATTTTATTTTTTTTTGATCATCAGAATGATTTTTTTTTAATAATCATTTATTTCATATATAGGATACAAGCAATAATACAAATAATAAGGTTTGACAAAGTTAAGAACATTATTGTCAAACTGATGTTTTGTAATATTGAGGACAATTTATGATTTTTACAAAATTAAAACATTACTGAGAGCTTTTTTATTTATTTTATCGATATTACTGAAAGCTTGTCAATAAACATTTACTGATTTTTTAATTACTAAATAACATTATGTTACACAACTGAAAATTTACTTCCGTATCCATGACAACTTTACATTCACAAATAAACACTAAGATGTACATATGAGTCAGATCAAATAGCAAAATGCATCATGTCACACAATACTATTTATTTAAAGGGACTCCGTGCATATATTTAGCATTCTTTGGCAAAATAAAGACTTACTCTTGAACCTTCTTAGTATATATATAATAGGGTTTATTTGTATTGATGCCTGAACAGGGCCACAAGTACATCCAACAACAATGAAAAAATTACAATAAAAATATTTAAAAAAAAAGTTTTCTCGCTTGAATTTTAACGCAAATAAAGTTTTGCATCGTACATGATTAAATGTGTAAATAAAATGGTTCAATGATTATTTTACCATTTCTCCTTGAAAACTGTGCATAGTGTCCCTTTAAATTAGTTTCACAATTAAAATATATTTTGACCTGACTCGTAAATAGAGAGAATGCATAAAATGAATGTAAATACATGCAAACACATGCTGTGCTTTATCATCAGTGCTTAAATCATGCTTTTTTCAACCATTTGCTTGAATTCAAGTTCAATTCAAGTATTATCAGTTACAAACAGTCTTATGCAAAGTTGCAAAAATGCCTAAATTTGATGGATTAATTTCTAGGCTTTCTAGTGGACATTCCCCAGACTGTACATCAACAGGATTAGTGAGTAAAAACTCTCTCCCTTTAAGCTGTCACCATTAGTTAAGAGGTAATTTGTTTAACAGTGCAATAAGACAATGACATGCAAGACCTCAAAAATAATGATATTATAATTATAATTCTGTCATTTTCTATTTTTATATTCATATAGAAAAACTTTTTCTATACTCACAAATAATTATTTCATTAAATTAACAGCTTAATGGCAGAGACATTTCATAGCATGTGTTTGCTTTTAAAAGTCACAATACATAATACAATAATGATATTGTATAATATGTTAATTTCATGCATATATTTTGCTCTCAGTATCAAATTTTTTGTCACACATTAATAAATTCACAACTTTGTCTGTAAAAATACATAAATATTGAAAATAAAGGAAAATACTAGAAAAATAATGGAACAATATCGAACCATTTTTAGGTAAGATAAAATAGATGCATGAATTAATGTTTTACAATAGAAACATTTATGGTTTTTCATCATCTTTAAAATACTGTAACTTTGTGAGTTTATCTAATACTCAAATTCCAATAATTAACATGAATATTTTAGTCCAAAATGGCCTGAACATTACCCCAAAATGACTGAATCCATACCCCAAAATGACTGGATCCATACCCAAAAATGACTGGATCCATACCCTAAAATGACTGGATCCATACTCAAAATGACGGACCCCATATTCAAAATGACAGACTCATATCTAAAATGGTTGGACCCATACCCAAAATGACTGAACACATACCCCCAAAAAGTTTGATCCATACCCAAAACAGAAAAATGTGAAATTCTTGGGAAATTAAACAAATCAAAAGTTAGAATATTTTAGTAAAATGATGAGGAAGCCTGATTTTAGTAGTCATCAATGTATCATCAATTTTTGATACATTGATGATACATTGATAGATAAATTATTGATACATTGATACATCAATTGTTGATACATTGATGGGGAACTTGATACATTGATGACAAATGCAAGGAATGTTTAAATCAGGCTTTACATTTTATGGGTAAATGGTATGGGTACATGCAAACAATATAAAATATTAAACATAATCTAACCAAAAAAGCCTCATAACAAAATATTTATCCGTCTGTTTCTAGACAGAATATAATAAAAAAACAAAGGGAAGAGCAAATACAAAGTAAGAAATATTCTTTGTATTTGCACTTTAAGATTCACGCTTAATTCTGTAAAAACAGACAGATTTAGCAAATGACATTTCTCCGAAGCTGTCATTTTTTAAAATACCATAACAAAAAAGAAAAGAAGAATAAATAGATGTACAGTAAAACAACATATATGTACAGTATTTTTATTTGCATTCCAGGTATTGGGTTTCTATAGTGATGAGGCTTAATTAGGTCAGTTTGAATAAAATAAACAAAATGCATGCAACGTTTAATTTATATTAATAGTCATAAGATTCATTGCCTTCAAGAAGCCTAAACAGGTTCTCAAGTTTTTTGAAATTTCATTAGTTTGTTTTACTTAGTCTTGTTTTAAGTCTGTGGACCCTCTTTAATCCAATTCACCATCAGGGGAGGTGTATAGTATGGGGGGTCACAAAGGCTAGCTCGATTAAATTCAATAGTCTGTCAGTAGTTATTTCTTTCCCACATATGATAAAATTTAGGAACATCCTATCAGTATCAACTTCTCTATCTGATGCCTACAATACATTTTGCCACATTATGTTGGTATTTGAAATAAAAGGATAACATGAAAGAATGTTTTGGTGATCAATATATTTTGAGCATGACTATATGCAGTTTTCCCAATGGTTTGAGTTTTGAAAATCATAAATAGCCTGTATCAATGAATCTATTGCAGAAAGAGAGTGGCTCAAATAATTTTTTGGTATTATTTGGTGTAGGGGATTCCCCTTAGCTTTCCCTACATGGTCCTACACGCCATATAAGGATCTATCACATTTTTTTATTATTACTGTGGGCGATAATAGAGATAAAATCCAGTGGCAGGTTGATTTGCTTGTGATTTAAAGGTGAACTGATGTAAACATGTAATACAAAAATGGGGACCATGCTACAAGAGCATCTTATATTATAGTCAGCTTCATGCTACATGACTAATAAATAAGTGCATAAACATGCTTTCAAATTTCTATTCACGCCATGGATCTTTCTCACGAAACATTTTTAATACATTAGCTTTGATGAAACTAATTTTAATCTAATTAATAATTTATACAAAGTATCTCTGTAAAAAAGGATCTATTTCTTATTGATCACCCCTCGTAAAAGGTGGGATTAACTGGTTTTGAAAAACTGCCATTTATTTTGTAGATGGAAAGGGTAGTAGATGGAGCTTATAATGTTATTAAATCAAATAATTGGGTCCTGAAATGCTCGAAGGAATGATTTCAGAGTTACGATATCAATCCGAGTCCAATTGAAGAAATTTAACTGTTCAGTGTTTGTACATTTGTGCGATTAAAAGTAAGTGTATTTAAGACCCCTTAAGTAAAAGTAAAAAGTATGTAAAGTAGAGAGACCCCTTGACCTTGAGTTATGAATAAGACGATTTTAGAAAAAGTCCTTGTATTGTTTTCTCTTTGTATTTTGAGGCAAAAAAGTGCTAAATGTACACTGTACTAAATGTACACTGCACTAAATGTACACTGCACTAAATGTACACTGCACTAAATGTACACTGCACTAAATGTACACTGCACTAAATGTACACTGTACTAAATGTACACTGTACTAAATGTACACTGTACTTGCACAAATTGTGTTACACTTAACTTCTACAAAAAACAAATGCGAGACAACAACATGCCGAATAGTACATTAGTACAATAATTAGTGATATATTAAGAAGGATATCGTGCTGACGTGCCGTTGACCATAACTTACTACAGGCAGAAGGTGGTCGATTTCTTTTATTGCCAAATTTTTGATCTGACCCGGGGGTAAATAACCTGCTCCAATTAAAGCTATCGCTTCCAACGAAACATAATTGGCGATTGTTGTATAAGAGAACGTTGCCGTTTTTTATATGTTTAAGAGAGATGAGCTCTAAGGCACGTATACAACAACTTCCAATGAGATTGATTGCTCCTCCGTACCTAGAATATAGAATAATATATACCAACAACAGTTTTAAAGCAACAAGCAACAATTTATGCTAAACTTTGCCCAAAATTTCACCTTTGGCAGTTCCAGGTTTACATGTTTTACAATATTTTGAAAATATTTTAATGGGATCGGATTAGTAACAGACGGATGGTACTTTACATCTAAATTACAGTTATTTTGAACATGTCATTCAAAATATTAAAAAATGATCAAACAGTTCTCTATGCATTGCTTTTGTTATCAAATACATCATAATAATTACAATAAATGTTTTTAAGTGCACATGTAAAACTATGACTGCCAAAAGTGATACTTTTAGGGAAATCATTCAATCTGGCACCAGTAGGGGGAGGCACTGCAACTAATTCACTCCAGCCTTCCTATTGGTGTTGTCATGACAACTGAATTGTAAACTGCAGGCCTATGTTGCATAGAAACACAAAGGCATGCACTGTACAACAAATGAACAGCTGACATATGCGTCTCCCTAGTAACACCGTAACAAGCGCCCGACCCTGGCTAACAACCCTCCCAGCTTGATTGTACAACAGCCACAAAACTTTAGAGATGAAACAATTTGATAAATTCATTGTTAAACATATTTCACAAAAGTTAAAATGAGAGTTTTTTCAAATTGCTCTCAGAGCACCAATAATACTAATTCTTCCACTTTTGATTTTTACAAAAATGTTCCACTCATAGTAGAAATGTTCCATTTTTGATTTTTACCAAAATGTTCCACTCATAGTAGAAATGATGTTACCAAAATGTTCCACTCATAGTAGAAATGACCCGTTGTACAACCATGGGGAAGTTAATTGCAGCATTTGAACACCCGATTTTAAACTTACTACATGCAGCGTTTTCCTTGTTTTGCCTGACAACAACGGTACCAATACTACTTTCTTTGATCCTGCTCCACTCAAATGTATTAACATAACAGAGTTGATCATTTTTGTAAATGATAATATTTCCATTTACAACTCGTTTAAGAGAAGTAAGGCCAAGTTCCATGATGTTTTTGGTTCCGACTATACTTAGCGCTGCAGATTGTTGCCTAAAAGTTATATTTTTTATCACATGTACAACAGTTAATGAACCATTTTTATTTTATCAATTCATGCATGGAATCATTCAATTAGATGATAAAATTTGCTGAATTTATTCAATTCAAGATTGCAAGGGTTATGCTAATCTGTTTTAACTCATTTATTTCACAATGCACTACATTTATTTTAGATCTTCTTAACAAAGTGGTGAAAATTATAGAACTGACAAAATTCAGAGATAACTGCTTCTCTACTTATTGTGGTGTTCGCTTTAATTTGGCGAATTCTGCGATTTGAAAAAATCGCCGATTCTTCACCAATTTTTTTCTCAGGTGGATCTGTGCATACGTATATGCAGTTATGTTTTTATTTTAAACGGTTTTCTTCACCTATTTTCCAATTTTGCCAACTTCGTGAAATTAAATAACGCCAAATTAAGTAGAGTAATGTAAGACGTATAAATTTAAACTTACTGATCAGTCGCCCGTCCGTGAATTACTTCCAAATTCTTTAAAAATGATAAAGTTGTTAGATTTTCATGTCGAGACTGGACCATCAAATATTCTGTGATTTCACGTACACTTTCGAATACGCTTAGTTCATGGGGCTCAATTCCAACGATGTTTCGGTGAACGTCTCTGAAAACAGAAACAAAAAAAGAATAAGTTAAATTTGCGGAGATGTTGAATTTGCAATACTTTTAAAAATCACAAAAACATGAGTATGCACATATAAACAAATGTACAAATCCACAAAAATTGCTATCACAAATTAAATAAATGAGGCATGTACTCTACACAAGTTACAGGTGTAAATGTCATGACAAAATGTCACCAACTACAGATGATTTACAGATCATAACTGAAAAATGCCGAGATCAGTTGCAAAAAACTGTTGGAGACCCAGCTATTTACAACATCCATTATATCAGTTATTAATTAAAGGACAATAATAACTAATGACAATAATAAGAAATAACAAACACAAATAGAATCTAGAAATCATCACTTCAGCAAAATAGTACTCATATCATATGTAAAAGAAATGAATGTGTTAATGAGCCTACCCCGTAAAGCTTGATTCAAGGATACGTAGATTTCCTTCAATAATGGTACAGTCTTTAAACCTTTGGATGTTGTTGGAATTCACAAACTCATCAGCTGTTGTACCGGGGCACTCTGAAAAATTTTCATTTCATTTTCATTTATCAAATTTGTAAAGAATTGTAAACATATATTAGGGTAATATCTTTATGTAACTATGTAAAATTACATACTCGTATATATAAGTGTACTAGATTCTGACATTTTATCAATAAATAAAAGATTTATATGCATTTTTCTTTGGTGGGGTAGAAAGTAAAAATTATTTGTTCCTTAATGCCTATGTCATATTCATCAGACAGAACTTGGCCAACTGCAGTATTTTGTTCAAAACTGATTTCAACTTGCTTCAAATTGACCACACTTTTGTCAAATCATGTAAAAGTTCTCAGGAGTTCAAATCTGACCTCAAATTTGAGATTTGACCTTCAATTATGAACAAAATGCTTAATCGACCAGGCGCCGGCTGATGAAACGGGGCAAATGTGATCTAGGCATAAAGCACCAGTATATGTGTTTTACTTACTTTTTGGACAAGGCCCTATGCATGGAACACATTTTCCCGCATCTTTGTCTTTTCCCTCCATCTTGCCAGGTGGGCAGTTTTTAATACAGTAACCATTATTCTGCATCAGATGATCTGAAAAACATTCAACCAATCACTGATTTATTCAATTAACTATACAGTTCGTGAATCAATTAATAATCATTTTTCATTAATTGAAATTAAAAATGAGCATCTTTTCCTCCCACTGTTTCATGTCTTCATATCTTGTGACATCGCTGTACTTATTCTCATGTTCATCGATATAACTATTTGTATTGTCACTTGGCCGATATATGGCAGTTTAACATGCTTTAAGATACTATTGCGATACAACAACTGGTTTTAACATGGTTTGTATTGATAACAAGGCATTAACATACAAAATGTCACAACCTGCCATTTGTTACAAACAATGACCAAGAACACCAACAGTGGAATGCCGAACAAAGTCCACAAAAAGGTTGTAGCAATATGTCACCACTTATATAATGCAAAATATCACCACCTGCCATTTGTTACAGACAATATGTCACCATTTATGGTGATGACATAATGAACAGAAAATTGGCAAGAAACTTACTTGGACATTTCGGCACACAAAGTGTCCCATAAGCATATTTAGCGTTTGGGTTCTTCACCATGCTGTATTCTGCGTCATCGTATATCATCTCCGGGGGACATTGGGCCACACATTTATTACCGTCTTTAAAATGCTTGCACGACTGTAATAAAAATTTTGTAAATGTTAGCCATTTTTCAAGTTTTTAGACAACGGAGATATCAATTTAACACTTCAAAGCTTTTATGCAAGATTTATTAATACTTATCTTTGAAAGTGTCACTAAACATTACAATTTTTGAAAACATTGTAAACATTGTATATTGTATATAATACACATCTTGTTACAAACTAATAGCTTTGTAAAACAGTATTTTAAAAATCATGTAAATATGTAACAGTCGATGTTTGAATGTATTGAAAGAATGGCACTGAAAAATTGTGTAAATCAATCAGCAGTCAATGGTTGAAATAGGTTGATAATAATTCATTGATAGATCAACTGTGTGAGTTGTGCGAATATCTATAATTCAATGGTTGAAATAGGTTGATAATAATTCATTGATAGATCGACTGTGTGAGTTGTGCGAATATCTATCATTCAAGGGTTGAAGTGGTTGATAATAATTCATTAAAAGATCAGTGACTTATGTGAATATCTATACGTCAATGGTTGAAATTACCCAGCATTCCCTGCTTGTTGGTCCCGTACAGCCTCCCGCACATTGTGAGTGGCAACATTTATTTGGTTCTTTTCCGTAGCATCTTCCATCACACTGTGGACTGCAAATGGTTCGACTCACTATAAAAATATAATTCTATTTGAAATTTTTTAAAATTTTTTTTAAAAATTTTTTTAAATATGGTAACACTATTAATCCCTAAGACACATAGTGTTCAGGAAATAAATAAACAAAACAAAAAAACAAACGATCGAATTTAATAAGAGATTTTATCAAATGAGGATAAAACGCCTAAAGGTTCTACTTTTCTATGATATTGTAGGAATGTATCTCATAATTTCCCACATTTGGTGAAATATGGGTTTTTGAGATTTTTCATCCTAGCTCATATTTCATTTAATTGGGGTCATAAAACTTGTGTACCTGTTCGATTATGTGCTGTTAAATACAATGACTATTACGTAATATATTGACATTAAGGGAAATGATAACATAATAACTATCACACTTATTGACACTCATTAGAAAGTTAAACCAAATGAATTTTACTTACATTTTTGGCACATATCAGGACCTTCACCCCAGCAGTATTTTCGACACTTATCGGGATCGTCATTATTACCCAAGCAGTAGGTTTCACAAGAGGCATGGCAACTCCCACCTAGCAACAGACAACAATAAAACATTACAAATATTCCACGATATTAATGAATGAAAAAAAAAAAAAATTTAATTTGATATAGGAACAGCAGTTGGAGAATCAAAACGTGTCCTAGAAATAAACATAGTTAGCGAACTGAATAAGCTTTTAATCAATTTTTATTGTATCGGATGGGTATATGAATATAACCTATACTAATTTCCATTTCCCACTCTGCAAGACAGGAAATGAAATCTCTCCATTATTCCTAATACAATGTCCCCAGGTCCTACACCTACGACATCATTATCATGCTTTTAAGGACGGTAAATTCAGCATTGTTATTTCATAAATACAGACTTGAATCACTCAAACGATTACACTCGGTTCGTACAGCGTGATAAATTGAAACATGGAGCTAAGAGGCACGTCATAAAAATTGAAGATCCGATGTTCAAGATTTGGTCAATTTATAAATTCATGTGAAATCATACACTTGATCATACATGGAGGGCAGGGGGGGGTGTAAATATGTATTACCTACTAAAAGGGATGTATACACATATCATTCACTAGCGACAGCAATAGTAAATAATGGAATGATCATTATAAATTATGAAATATCAACCTTGTAGCAAATACAGTTAAGGGAATAAATGCTTTTATGAATCTGAACATTTTGATACAACAATAATGATATTAATGTGCCATTAAAACTCAATTTAGATGATTTATCTCATGTAAACCTTAATGGAAAACACCTTAGCACTTACTGACCATTGTAAAGGTAAAAGCTATTTATTTACGTTGGTAAACATTTTCTTATTAAGTAACTCGCACTTAATGATTAACAATATGTCAAATAAATGGTGTCAGATAAATGGTGTCAGCTAAACCCAATATATGTAGGTGTATCCATTTGGGTTAAGTGAGATCCCATTAAACTGGAATCAAATATGCTTCAATGACAAATACAATTTTTTGGATACTTAACAGGCTCGTAGGATTTGCCAAGGGGGGTTCACTTTTTTAAATAATTCTAGGAGGGTTCACTTTTGATCATTTTGGTCCAAATATGGCCAAAATCACGTAAAAAGTGCTCAGAATGATGAAAAACTGAATGATTTTGAGAGAATATTTGGCCAGGGGGGAGGGGGGGGGGGTTCGCTTGAACCCATAGAACCCCCCCCCCTGACTACGGGCCTACTTAAGCATGACACATGGTAGACAATTTTATTGTACAAGAATCTAATAAAAATGGCAGCCCCAAAATTTATCCAGCATGCCCAAAAAATTCAGTTCAAGATTTTCACACCAAGAAACATCCCTAAATAGGGGAACTTCCGATACCAGATCAACAAGGGTGTAGTATATGCAGAATACAGATTTAAATTTCTTTTTAAATATGTTTACAATCCGGGTAGAAAAAACAGAAAATCAGCATGTTCGGAGTATTATGGATTTTTAGCAATTTTGAAATACATGGGAGACCTCACTTAGTTGTTCAGCTGTTAAAATTCATCTAGCTTCAACCAAAATCAAATCCCCCCCTCCATCATATTTCTATAACAAAGCTCTGACAATTCTCAAAATCGTCTGCCTTCCTCCATTTTCTTGCTGATTTCTCTCTAAAATTTGAATAAAGTGTCTCGATTTCTTACATTTCTGTACAATTTAAAGTCCAAACTACATGCCTGTTTACTTTATTCCTTGCTAATTCCACTCCTTTATACTCCCTTTATCATTTTAAAACGTTACCATGATGCCCATATTACCAAGCAACACACATTTTAAATACAATTAATATACACAGTATTCATCATTAGACAAAATGACTGGTCCCCAATGAATTAAACACAATTTATTACAATGGTTACTCAATTTGAATGGCTTATAGTATGAAATAAAAATAGTACGAAATAAACAGCCAATTTGTATGCAAGACCTAATGAAGGATTAATAGCTGACTAAACTAATTTGCCTTTACTTTACACGTTGATATATGCGTTTCTTTTGATAAACCAGTCTTGTGTATATTAAAAGCCTAATTTAAGAATGACCTTATTCTTTTTGAAGAAATGAGACACAATGCAGATATCACACTGTAACCAATATAGCGGATTTGCTTTTGAAAAACCATGTGATTTTACCATATTTGGAATAATATTAATTGTTTAAAAGTATGAAATGACTTGAGTAAAGAGAAAAAATCAAATGAAATACCATTCCTTATGCAGTAGAATCTGTGTCTAATGTGAACACCTATAAGACCATCCAAAAGTGTTTAGCAGGTGTTCACGTTTGAAGGTTTCTTAACATGTGAATCAATGGGACAATACAAAAATGGGACTGAAAAGTGTTCACATTAAGAGGTGTTCAGATTAGAGAGGTGTTCAGATATACAGGTTTTGCTGTATTTGGAATTTTTTCTGAAATAATTTCTGCTATTTGAAGGTTTTAAACATTACCCTAATGACATTGAATCAACACCAAAAGAAATGCACCTACTCAAAAATGCTCCCTTTGGTCATGCCGTTTTCATTCTTTTTCTCTCTAAAATTTGAATAAACTTTTTAATTTTCTTGCGTTTCTGTACACTTTAGAGTATCCACTACATGTCTGTTTACGTTATTCCTCGCTGATTCCACTCTTTTCTACTTAATTTTACATTCTTAAACATGACCGTTGGCGATATTTCATGACGGTTGCACTCTAAGGGTATACCACAAGGTACTTATTAAGAACATCTTAATTATAGATTTTGCTGCGCCTATAAAAGGTTTTAAATAATTCATGCCCACTATTGAATTTTTTTACCTAACTGACTGTGATTTCACCGATGTAAGAGTTCTTTTAGAGGAACACAAAAACATAAACGTTTCAACGAAAGATCCAACACAAAGAAAGCCACTTTTAACACTAAATTATTTATATGGTGTTAGAGTGTTTAGGAGAAAATGTGTTGAAATGTATCAGTCAAAGCCTTTTAGAGATTTTCCCTATTGTGAGAAAGTTCTAGAACCATTTAAAAATCATATCAGTTAGTCAATCAGATAATGCGTCTGATAGATTCAAGAAAACAAAACAGAAAATGCAAATTACCTAAATAAATATATTTCGCAATTTTTTTAATATGTTCTACCTGGTTTCAATCGGGGAAGTAATGAGAAGTAAGACTGTTTTCTCGTTATTTTCTTAATTAGTCTATTGATTTGACAGAAATCGTTCTGTCAACACGTCTTAAAAGTAATGAAAATACTTGTAATACAGCTTTACATTAGAAATAAATTTAGTGCTTAATTACAACTTAGATGGCTATGACAGATTTTCTGAGAAATAAATGATTTTTAGTGTTGCTGGACATAGGTGGTTAGGATTAAGTGTCCTGGAAACAAACCATTATAAAAAGGCATTAACATGCAAAATGTCACCACCTGCCATTTATTACAAATGCCAACCACCAAATGCCGAACACCAACTGCCAAACACCATCTACAAAAAAGTTGGAGACTATAACAATATGTCACCATTTTTGGTATTACATAATACACAAAATAAAATCAACATACTATTTTATTTAGATAGGGTAAGTTGCAAACCCTTTTGGTCTAAACATTTTTTTATTTATTATTTATGGACCAAATAAAACCAAAAGGTTTCAGTGTATAAGAGCCGCCCAAGCATATTTTCCTTTCGTTCAGTTTTTTTTTCAAGCCCTCCATGTGAGGTGTAATTGCCATGGCCATGCATGCTAAAATCGAGCATTTTTATGTTTTTCTTCAAAGGATTTGTACTTTATTCAAAGAATACCAAACCACCATGTGAAGTTACATACAATGCAAGGCACGTGTAAGAATTTTGAAAAAATATATTGGAGGGACACCCATATTAGGCGTGATACCTATAGCTTGGTCTCGGCTGAAGAAAAGGTGAATTCTACAAATGGGATAACGAAGATGCAAGGAGGGGGATAGGACTACCCTAACATCAATCTAATATAGGCTTATATTAATACAGGCTATCAAAGAAAATGAATGAATGGAACTTATTCATTTGGTAGGGGTCACAGACTGCCCCATATTACATAGCGAGATAAAAACGCTGGCAAAATAAAATCTAAGATTTTGAGAACTCATATCATAACGGTAAAAATAAAACAGAGTCTTAAGTAATACTAAACTCCCTTTTTTACAGCTGTTTGAAAAATAACTGAAAAACAAAAGAAAAAAAACAGTTGTTTGACATCTATTATGAGGGAACACCAATAGAAGGGAAGACATCTATCAAAATTGTCCAGGGGTGCACTTAAAATTGTCCAAGTGCAAGGGCTTTCCTTGTCAAGATGTGCCAATTAAGCACCCACGGGGCATGTCATGAAAACGTCTCAATCTGTTCATTGTCACTCTATTATTTGATTAAAAAAATAGACTCATCTAATTTCCTTTGCCTTTTTAAAACTTTCATGAGATATCAGTGTTTTTAAGCGTTTTTTCAGCTCCATTTTTTGCATTTCAAAATACAGTAAGACCTGTCTAATCCATGGAACTCAGGTCATGCATGGGTCTGACCAAATATTTTCACTTTTCAATGCTTTTTAACATGAAAGTCTATGGGAGCCAAAAAAGTGTTCATATATTGACTGGTGTTCAGATTAGAAAGGTGTTTGGATATCAAGGTTTTCTTAAAATATGTATGACTTAAAGCACGCGGAACTCAATATTATATACATTTCTCAAATACGGCAAACATGCCATAAAGTTTGATCTCGATAAATGAGAAACAGATTAAGATGTTTCCTCAACGTGGGTATATAATAGCCGATATGGTAAGAATGAATGGAAAAGGAGGCTTCGTTTAAAAACAGGTCGAGCCCAAAGATGATATACACATACTGACACCGCGTCAGTATGAAACTGGAGGACTTGAACATGCTGACGACGTGCACAATGTCCTTATCTTGGAACGATCTCAAAAGTCAGAAGTCAGGAATTTAAATTCCACTGAGTTCTAATACTAAACATAGAAAATAGACCAAATAAAAATAAACAAATCATATGATACAATAGTTCAGAGGATGTTCATCCCAGCATGCATCTGGAATGAACTGATCCGGCCAATCAGCTTGTAGAATATAAGCAAAATGTGCTGGGAGCATGAACCTCCTCTGGAAAAGTTACAATGGATTACATTGACATGGAGAAAGATTTCACATTCAGAGAGATACCTACACACTCTGTTGCTCGTTATATTGTTAAAAATTACTGAAAATAAAAAGCAATATAAAAATTGCATACCATAACATGAAAAATCATTTTCAAAATCGTCCAAAAATGTCCTCCAAAACCCCAGTGCTCATTTTGTTGCAATCTCCAAATGCAGATTTTCAGACATTGTTCCCTTCATTCTCATGGATAAATCATAGATATTTGCAATTTGGAGAATGCTTGTGATAAAATTCATTGTGCATTTAAACAAATATAATTGCTGCTTATTCAAAATGCATGCTTTTTATTAAGTACTTACAAACTCTCCTAGGGACGTCATCTGTTTCCTCAAAGTATACATCTTCCTCGAGTATGTCATCCCACAGGATGTCGTTTGCGTGACAGAGGAACGGATTGTTGTAAAAGAACACGTTCCCTTTCATAATTTCTGGAAATACGGAGAGAGAAAATCATATTTTTATTCAAGACAGACAAATTTTGCAATATTTCGATTCATTATTTAAATCTTTTTGAAGCAACTGACAAATGTTTTTTTTAATTACGACATCACAGACTTCAACAATGGAAAAAGTAAATCTGAAGGCATCAACATGCAAAATGTCACCACCTGTCATTTGTTACAGACTGCTGACAAAAAAGTTGACTGCTGACAAAAAAGTACTTTACCACTTCTGGTGGTGACATAATTATGTAATACGTGAATTTTTACAGGTAAAAAAGTGATTAAACATCATTGCCATGGAAACTTTTAATAGTTATTTATCTATTGAGATCAACAATTTGTTCTCATTAGCAAAGATGTCCATTCAGACATTTCTGTTGTCATGTGTTGTCATGACACAGCATTGTGTTGTCATGGCAGCTAAAACAATTGTTGTAAGTAAAATGATCTTTATGAGACAAGAGACTCTTTGACACTTCTAGTCCCTCCTTTCCCACTAAACAACCTGGATGTACAACTACGAGATTAAATTTTAATCTTTACCAAATCAAAAAAAAAAGCTTATATTTTTTATTTCAAATGGCTAGAAATATCTTGACTGGAAAGTAGATTTCAACAGTAAATCATATTGTATCAGTAAACATAAATAAAATAGTAGAATCAAAAGCTGAAGAAATGAACTACATGATGTTTATCAATTTGGAATAATTTTACATGCTTCGACTAAATGGAACAAGGCATCAACATGCAAAATGTCACCACCATTTGCTACAGATGCCAACTACCGATCACCAACAGCGGTCACAAAACTTTTTGTTGGTGACATAAAAATGGATGCCATTTTCCAAAGAGGTGAGGTTTTGAGACTATTTGAATTGTCATAATGTATTACAAAGGTGTCACTTATATGTTGACACACAGACAGACAGATGGGTGCACAGATAATTGGATGAATGCTAGTTTACCCGTGCAGCTAAAAACATAAGTATAATTTTAGCCATTTCAAGAGGATTTGCTATATAGTTTGAGGCTATTATTAAACATAATAAAAATATCAGAGTATCACTCACCATATAAAGACTTGAATTGGAGCTCCTTTAATCCAACTTGTTTTGAGATCGCAGATTTTTGATAATTCAACGCTACGTACAAACTGTATTCCTTCCCTTCATGCCCAAAAAGCTTCCTTCCACGTATAATCCTTAAATTTGTTAAAAATGGAACATCTGCGTAAACACTGACGATCAACACATACCCAGTAACCTCTCGAATATCCTTCAGAAAACTTAAGTCATATTTTACATCGTCATCATCCAGAAAGACAATTTCAACGTTTCCATCGATGAATGTACAGTTTGTGTATCTCTGGCGGTACATGTCGTAACGTCTACTCGCAGATCCTTGAAATCCCATACCAGTCGATGTGCCTTGGCATACTGGAAAAAATAAATGGGAAAACAAATAATTATATGTTAGATGTGAAATAGTTTTTACCATAGATCTTTATGTAAAAAGAATGTTGTCAGTCTCCTGCACAGACTCAAAAAAGTAAAATTAAGTAATAATAATGAATGGAGATAGTGGTGAAAGGTGAGGTGAATGAAGGTGAGGGAATTAGATATGAGGCGTATTGGGATGAGGCAAATGCAGGTGAGGCATTTTGAGATGACAATGTTTACTTGGCTGAACAATGTTTACTTGTACTTGTAAAGGCTTTTATATTTTAGATCATTCACAAGCTAAATTAATAGGATTTTGATGCAAATATATCATTAAGCCACAAGCACACATGCATAAATAGCAAAACTACATCATTAAAACCATCGTATTACAATACATGTACATTATGGGCATGCATTTAAACCATGAATATATGAAGTAACTAAAAATAACTTCATGCAGTTAATACAACCACTTCATCAAAAAATAAAACTAATTTTTGGAAGTCCAGGATAGAGTTACAGTTTATAAAAATAACATGTCAATCAAGACTGATAAAATTGAATATAAGGAATTCTCAAGCTAACTAACTTATTAATTAGTTCCATTTGGAAAAACATTTCTTATATGTTTGTGGTTTCAGTATACTGGATTTCACTCGATCAAATCCAAAGTTAAACACATTAAAAAAGTTCTGCATGAAAGGTACACACAATATTCTAGTTAGATATATCACAAAGTATTATTTCTACACCAAAGTTACACACTAAACTCAAAGATATGATAGATCTATTGGAAATTAAAGTATGTTTTCTGAACCAAAGTTACACACGAAACTCAAAGATATGATAGATCTATTAGAAATTAAAGTATGTTTTATGCACCAAAGTAATACACACGAAACTCAAAGATATGATGTGATTTATCACATAGTATTATTTCTGAACCAAAGTTACACACAAAACTCAAAGATATAATAGATCTATTAGAAATTAAAGTGTTTTCTGAACCAAAGTTACACACAAAACTCAAAGATATAATAAATCTATTAGAAATTAAAGTGTTTTCTGAACCAAAGTTACACACAAAACTCAAAGATATAATAGATCTATTAGAAATTAAAGTATGTTTTCTACATGAAAGTTACACACAAAACTCAAAGATATAATAGATCTATTAGAAATTAAAGTATGTTTTCTACATGAAAGTTACACACAAAACTCAAAGATATAATAGATCTATTAGAAATTAAAGTATGTTTTCTACATGAAAGTTACACACTAAACTCAACGATATGTTAGATCTATTAGAAATTAAAGTATGTTTTCTACATGAAAGTTACACACAAAACTCAAAGATATAATAGATCTATTGGAAATTAAAGTATGTTTTCTACATGAAAGTTACACACTAAACTCAACGATATGTTAGATCTATTAGAAATTAAAGTATGTTTTCTACATGAAAGTTACACACAAAACTCAAAGATATAATAGATCTATTGGAAATTAAAGTATGTTTTCTACATGAAAGTTACACACTAAACTCAACGATATGTTAGATCTATTAGAAATTAAAGTATGTTTTCTACATGAAAGTTACACACAAAACTCAAAGATATAATAGATCTATTAGAAATTAAAGTATGTTTTCTACATGAAAGTTACACACAAAACTCAAAGATATAATAGATCTATTAGAAATTAAAGTATGTTTTCTACATGAAAGTTACACACTAAACTCAACGATATGTTAGATCTATTAGAAATTAAAGTATGTTTTCTACATGAAAGTTACACACAAAACTCAAAGATATAATAGATCTATTGGAAATTAAAGTATGTTTTCTACATGAAAGTTACACACTAAACTCAACGATATGTTAGATCTATTAGAAATTAAAGTATGTTTTCTACATGAAAGTTACACACAAAACTCAAAGATATAATAGATCTATTGGAAATTAAAGTATGTTTTCTACATGAAAGTTACACACTAAACTCAACGATATGTTAGATCTATTAGAAATTAAAGTATGTTTTCTACATGAAAGTTACACACAAAACTCAAAGATATAATAGATCTATTAGAAATTAAAGTATGTTTTCTACATGAAAGTTACACACAAAACTCAAAGATATAATAGATCTATTAGAAATTAAAGTATGTTTTCTACATGAAAGTTACACACAAAACTCAAAGATATAATAGATCTATTAGAAATTAAAGTATGTTTTCTACATGAAAGTTACACACTAAACTCAACGATATGTTAGATCTATTAGAAATTAAAGTATGTTTTCTACATGAAAGTTACACACAAAACTCAAAGATATAATAGATCTATTAGAAATTAAAGTATGTTTTCTACATGAAAGTTACACACAAAACTCAAAGATATAATAGATCTATTAGAAATTAAAGTATGTTTTCTACATGAAAGTTACACACTAAACTCAACGATATGTTAGATATATCAAGTAAAAAGTATGTTTCTTACTTTAGAGTTACACACAAGATTCTATTCTGCAGCAAGTTACACGCAAAACTCAAAGATATGATGAGCTTTATCACAAACACCGTAGTATTATTTATATACCAAAGTTGCACACAAAACTCAAAGATATGATAGATCTATTAGAAATTAAAGTATGTTTTCTGCACCAAAGTAACACAGAAAACTCAAAGCTATGATGAGCTTTATCACAAACACTGTAGTATTATTTATACACCAAAGTTGCACACAAAACTCAAAGATATGATAGATCTATTGGAAATTTAAGTATGTTTTCTGCACCAAAGTTACACACGAAACTCAAAGATATGATGTGATTTATCACAAAGTATGTTTTCTACAACGAAGTTGCACACAAAACTCAAAGATATATTAGATATATCAAAAAGTATGTTTCTTACTTTAGAGTTGCACATAAGATTCTATTCTGCAGCAAGTTACACGCAAAACTCAAAGATATGATAGATCTATCAGGAAGTATGTTTTACCAATTATGCTTTGATAAGAGAGGTTGATATGATGTTACAACTATAAAGTATTTTGCTAATAAGACAGTTGTTAAAGATGATCCCAGAAAATACTATAAATCCACGCTCACGTCAACTGACGTGCCAAAAAATTTGAAGATGAACTCGCCAAACTACTCCTTTTTCTTCCAAAAACGAATGAACGAATATTCTTCTTTTTGATTTCTGAAAAATTTAGAGTTCCTACTTTTTGATTACTATCTCCAGTTGTTTTTAATTCCATGCAATTTTGTTGTAATTTGAAAATAAACTATGCTTACTTAGAAATTATTTGAAAGAACGTAAACAAATCAGTTTTTGGTGTGAGATATTACCCTTGTTAAAAATGCTTAGAATGTCATTCTCTCAAACAAAATAATGATTTTTCGAGTATTTCTATACAATTAAGAATATTGTCTTTGCAAACATGTATTTTACCATCCATAAAATCGGCTCTCTTCCCCTCTATTTTGCATTTAAAAACATGACCACAGTTACCATGGTGATAATTTATTGCGAGGATGAGCATAAAGCCAGGTGTTCTCACATAAAAAAGATAATGTAAACAAGGGAAGACTGTTGAATCTCTACCGTAAACATCCCCGGGGTCTCATCTTCAACGCAACATTGCTATCACCACTGTGCCAAATTTTCTCTCCGTGGACAAACTTAATCGGTACTTTTCTCTTAAAAATTTGAATGAACCATGTGATATTTTTGCCCTTTTACACAATTTGGAATATGGACTTTATATCTGTTTTCTTTATATCTTGCTAATTCCACTCTTTTCCACTTAAATCTCAATTTTAAAATATGACTACCATGAAATCTGCCACAGGGCTTCCAGAGTCGAAGCTTAACACCAAGGTGACTAATAAGGGTATCTTCATATGATTCGGGCCTGGGATCTGGGAAATTCCCAGTTACTGTTTACAAAATAATTATATTTAACTTTGGAAAAACTGTCTCATATGAGAACGACCAAAAATGTTTGGATTGGTAGATCTTTACACTTAAGGTTTATCAACATGGCAATCTATGGCAGATCAAAAAATTGTACTGGAAAAATATCAATAAAGAGAGGTTCAAGGATACGTTTACACATTTATATGTTCTGTGTATTCAACTTATTTCTTTTTAAATTATTCAAAATATATGTGAAGAATAGGGATCCCACGATTGCTCGATGCACCGATATAATCGCTAGAAATCACCTCCGATTCGATTAATCGATATGGATTCTCTATTTTCGATATTATCGATAATCGTTTTTCAAACCAACTCACCCGCTATGTAAGTAAAAGAGCTCAATTAAACCAAAATTGACACAGCAAACTCCGTGAAAAATGAAAAATGAAAAATATTTTGAAGAGCTAACATGACACGCCACATATTTTCGTGATTCAAACCGAACGTGAACTTTTTAGCAATAAATGGATTTTCAATAATTTTGCGAACATTTGTGATTTTAGATGCCCTATGTGCATTTTCACACCAAATATTATATCATAAATTATCTTAATACGTAATAAATGCGATAGGGCCCTAGACGTATCTTTATTTTAATGTTTTAAGATGTTATAGTATCTTTTCAATTTGCAATAAATTTAGCGAACGACAATAAAAAATGACGTTCGAATATTTAATGAACAGCGAAACCTCGGCGAGGTTTAAAACTTTAAATCCCGTAAATTTGCTGATATTCGTAATATGGAGCACACTATCGCAATAAACACAACCCAAAATGTAAGTCTGAGGTGTGGAGGTCTTTTAAAAACCCAACAATCAATAACAACACAACTTTCTATGCTCAGAAGAGTAGGCCTAACTTTGAATTTTTTTTAATGGGCGGACTCGAACCCCACCCCCCCCCCATGTAAACACAGACATTTACATGAATGTGTATCGAATCGTTTGTATCGAATCGTTTTCATAATATCGAGATACGTATCGAATCGAAACAAAATGTATCGTG